ACCAAAGACATTTTTCCCTCCCCACCCTTATCTGCTTTCCGGAGGGACCACTCTCTCTGTGACTCCCTTGTCTGCTCCACACTCCCCACCAGTCCCACCACCCCCGGCACGTTTCCCTGCAACCGCAGGAAGTGCTACACCTGCCCCTACACCTCACCCACATGCCAGGCCCTAAGAAGACCTTCCACATCAAACAGATGTTCACCTGCACTTCTGCTAATGTGGTATACTGTATTCATTGTTCCCGTTGTGGCCTTCTCTATATCAGGGAAACCAAGCGGAGGCTTGGGGACCGCTTTGTGGAACACCTGTGCTCGGTTTGCAACAAACAACTACACCTCCCAGTCGCGAACCATTTCAACGCCCCCTCTCACTCCTTGGACAACATGTCCATCTTGGGCCTCCTGCAGTGCCACAACGATGCCACCCGAAGGTTGCAGGAACAGCATCTCATATTTCGCTTGGGAACCCTGCAGCCCAATGGTATCAATGTGGACTTCACAAGCTTCAAAATCTCCCCTCCTCCGATGGCATCTCAAAACCAGCCCAGCTTGTCCCCGCCTCCCTAACCTGTCCGTCCTTCCTCCCACCTATCCACTCCTCCCACCTCAAGCCCTACCCCTATCTCCTACCCACTAGCCTCATCCCGCCTCCTTGACCTGTCCATCCTCCCTGGACTGACCTGTCCCCTCCCTAACTCCCCACCTAAACTCACCTTTACTGGTTCCAACCCTGCCTCTTTGACCTGTCTGTCTCCTGTCCACCTATCTGCTCCTTTATCCATCTTTTATCCGCCTCCCCATCTCTCCCTATTTATTTCAGAATCCTCTTCCCCTCCCCCATTTCTGAAGAAGGGTCTAAACCCGAAACATCAGCTTTCCTGCTCCTCTGATGCTGCTTGGCCTGCTGATTATAGTCTGGAATGTGCTGCCTGAGAATATGGTGGAGGTCGATACATTTGTGGCTTTCAAAAGGGTATTGGGTCATTTTGAAGAGAAAAAATATGGCAGGCTTAAGGGGAAAATTCAGGGGCTTGGAACTAGTTGAATTGCCCTTGGAAACAGCCAGCATGGACCTGACAAGCTAACTGACCTCCTTCCTTGCTGTCATTGTTGAAATATTCTGTAAACAGACTGGGTGGAGCACAAGAATTTGTGCGATGTCAATTCATTTTTACTTTTTCTTTTTCCTCTTTCTAGTCCCTCCCAAAATCCACCTGTCTCATCATCTCCTGAAGGTAATCGCAGGTCACTCCATTGACCTCCCTTGCCTGGCACATGGTGATCCAACTCCAAAAATCAGGTGGTATAAGGATGATGAAGCCCTGCTACAAGGTGCCAGCGATTCACTGGATGGTCCTGATGGTTCAATCAGCATTGCAGACGTGGAACTCTCTGATGCTGGGATGTATCGTTGTGAAGCAACCAATAATGCTGGACATGATACGGCTCAAATGACACTGGAAGTGTTGGGTAAGTGTGCATTGGAACTGTTTATGTCACAGCCACAAGATGTGTTCCATATTAGGCACAATAAATGCCAGGTGTCTGCAACTAGTTTCCTTTGGGTTATCCAATCGGAACTGCACTGAGACTGGAACTGGTTCGAATATACATACATCTCGAAGCAGGAATTGGCCATTGGTTCCTTGAGCCTGCTCAGTGATTCAGCTACATCACGACCAGTCTTTTACCTCAATATCATTTTCCTGCATTATCTCCAAATCCCTTAATATCTCAAAATCTACCAAATTTTTGTCTTGAATATATTTAATGACTGGGCCTCCACACCCATCTGGGGTAGAGAATGTTGAAGTTTCACCTGAGGGAATAAATATGAGTCAATAAATTCCTCCTTATCTCTGTCTTAACGGGCCTACCTCTTTTGATACTGTGATCCCAGTTCTAGAGCAGGGATCCCAAAGTGGTCAGGACCTCAAGGGATTCCGCAAACTGACATTCTGTGGTTACTAGCATTGAGGTACCGATGGCCATCAAGAACCTCTGACCAAGTTATCATGACTGTTCAGCTGTCCTCCTGCTTCAACAGTTATCATCAAAGTGTTCGGACAATGGGGGTTACAGAAGGAAAACTTTTGGGAAGCACTATTCTAGAGCACCCCAGTTATGGGAAATATCATTCCTGCTTTTGGATGTTGAGTTTGCTTTTCCCAAATCTGAAGCAAGTGGTGCACTAGACGAGAATGGAATGTCAGAATTAGTAGGGATATTTAACTGAGTCAAGATTAATGTAAATGGAATTAAAACTCAAAATGGAGTCAGTTAACTGAATGATCCAGTAACTGTGATGATTGACTTGCTTCCTCTTTCCCAGGTGGTATCTGTTGAGTTTCCAAAGCAATTGCCTGTTTTCATGTGGTAGGGCACTTTTAATATGCAAATGAGGATCTTATGATGTATATAGAACCCAATGGCCATTTTATAATGGAACAGCATGTATTGTGCACTCTCTGACCAGTCTGATTGTCGTGATTATAACAAGGCCAGCCAGGTGAACCTCATAGAATAAGTGTTCCCTGATTGGGGCTGTTAATCTGGTCCAATCAGGGAACCCTGGCTGACAGATGTAAACAGAAGTATCAGACATCCTGTTCGTTCTGAGAGCTGGTTCTGAGGGCGCTGGCTCAGTGTCAAGGACTCTCCACGTGTAAATAAAGGGTGACCTGGTGACAGGATACTGGCCTTTGTGGGGTTATTTCAGTGGCAACGAGAGAAAAGCACGCTCTTGAAGAAGTTCGCTTGCAACAGTTATCCTTGAGTTTGGGTAAGTATTTCTGGCATCATGCCGTTTTTTGGGAACCTTGACTCATTCGATCCTGTCAACAAAGACAAGGCCCAGTATGTGGAAAAAATGAGTTATTTTTTCCAGGCAAATGACATTGGGGCAGATGAAAAGCAACGAGTAATTCTCTTGACAGTTTGTCGACCTGCAGTTTTTTCGGTTATTAGGAACCTAACTTTCACTGAGGCACCAGATACTAAAACCTTTCAAGACTTGATGGATTTATTTGAGGAACATTAAACGGCAAGCCTCCTATAATTCTGAGACGCTATCAGTTTACACAATAATTCGAGAACCGGAGAGTCCATATTGGTATTTTTGATGAGGTTAAGATGACTGGCAGAGGCTTGTAACTTTGGTTTAACCCCTAATGTGATGCTCAGACACTGTTTGGTGTGTGGGATTAATGATGTAACCATACAAAAGTGCCTACTAGCAGAAGCCCAACTGGACTTCAAACATGTGCTACAATTGGCTTTATCATTGGAAAATAAGGCAATCAGAGCATATGTGTTGCAGGGTATTTTGATCAAAGTGGACACCCTTGCCAGTCCTTGAGTTTGGTGAATACCACTTGAGTGAAGGCAATTACGTAGCCTCACTCCGGACATATCCTGAACAGAGGGACTCTAGGTCAGCCCACAGCAAAACCCCAACATAAAGCCAAGCTTTGGCCAAATGGTTGAAATGTTCTTCAGGATTTGAGCTAGCAAGCCATTGTAGTTGCTGCCAAAAGAGACAGCAAAATAGTCCCACTAGACCTAAATTGAATAGGAGAACTCATAGGCCAGTTTCCAGGAGAGTGCACACCCTGGAACATCCACCTACATCTGGTTTGGAACAGTTAAATTGCTTAGCAACATCCAAATCAGAATCAGTCAAAATAAATGTCTGGTTAAATGGTCACCCGGTTCTAATGCAGGTCAGTACCAGCGAAGTGGTTTTAGTGATCGCAGAACTAGTCGTTAACAAAATTTGCTCTGGACTCCAACCTTTGTGCTTCTGCAAGAACCTATACCGGAGAACCTTTATAGATTAAGGATACAACTTTGGCTCTGGTCTCTTATGAGAAACAACTGGTTCAGTTACCACTGATTGTAGTAAAAGGCTTGGGCCCAAGCTTAATGGGGCGAAAGTTGGTTGAGAAATATTCATCGAGATTGGCTCAACACTTTTCAGTTAGAAAATGGCTGCCTGAGTAAAGTCCTAATTTAATACCCAGAGGTTTTTCAAGAAGCTGTGGGGACTGTCAAAGGAGACAAGGCCACCTTGCATATTGACCAGGAAGTAATTCCACGATTCTGCAAGGCCCGCGTACTGCCATTGCCTTAAGGGCAAAAGCGGAGGCAGAAATAAGAAGGCTGGAAAGTAAAGGAGGCATCAAACTAGTGCAGTTTGCAGAATGGGCAGCACTGGTTGTATTGATTATGAAGCCAAACAGGTTGGTTTGCTTTTTTGGGAATTTTAAACAAATGGTAAACTGCTTTTCGCAGCTGGATAAATACCCAAAACCTTGTATAGAGGATTTACATACAAAGCTAGCAGGGGTCTGTCCTTCATGAAGCTGGACATAAAGCAATTGCAGTTAGACGAGGATCCCAGAAGTATGCTACAATTAATACCCATAACGGTTTGAACCAATATGCGAGACTGCCATTTGGACTTCACTGGCTGATGGAGAACATTTTACAAGGTCTACCCCAGGTCGTCATTTATCTAGATGACGTGCTAATTGTAGGGAAGACCAATAAAGAGCACTTTGAGAACTGGACATATTTCTCCTGACGGGTGTAACCCTGTGAAGGGAAATATATGTGTTACAGGCACCCCAAGTGACCTACTTGGGCTGCAGAGTCAACAAGACCAGGTTACATGTGTTGGAAGGTAAAGTGAGGGTGATCAAAGGTGCCTGAGCTCCTATGTTTGTACCGGAGCTTAAGTCTTTCTTTGGATTGTTGAAATAATACTTACAGAGGATTCATACATAACCTGGCCTCCATCCTGGCACCTTTGCTTCAACTCTTAAAAAAGGTTCAGCCTTGGTAATGGTTGTATCGCCAAACCATTGCTTTCAGGGAAGTAAAGAAACAGCTGTCATCCTCTAAGATGTTGGCCCACCATGATCCCAAACGAGATCTGGTATTGACATGCAATGCCTCCTCTTATGGCATTGGGGTAGTATTAGCTCATAGGTGACCCAATGGAGAGGAGCGCTCAATTGTGGACGGATCTCAGACTTTGCCTGATGCCGAATGAATGTATGCCGAAATAGAGAAGAAAGGTTTGGCGGTCATATTTGGAGTCAAGAAATTCTACCAATACCTTTATGGACATAAATTTGTAATAATAATAGACCACAAACCACTGCTAGGTCCACTTAAAGAGGACAAGGCAGTGCCGCCCATAGCTTCAGGCCAAATTTGGTGGTGGGCTTTAATTCTGTGCGCATAATTATAAGCTCGAGCACCATCCCAGGAGGCCAAGTAGCAAATGTAGATTCATTGAGCCACCTCCCGCTGCCACATCTACTACCAGTGGGACCGATGATGGAAGAGTCCATAATGGTTTTAAATTTTCTAGGCACACTTCCAGTCACAGCTGCCAATATCAGCCTTTGGATGAAGAAAGATCTGGTCCTGACAAAACTGAAACAGCTGGTGGGGATGGGGGAAATGAAAGAGCTACCAGAATTGAAAACCTTTTGGACCAAGAGAGACCAGATCACAGTAGAGGACGGCGTATTATTATGGGGAGTAAGAGTGATTGTCCTGAGCAAAGGTTGCCACCAGATACTGGCTGAAATCCACCAGGGTCATCCAGGGGTTTCCAAAATGAAGATGTCGGCAAGTCGTTATGTCTGGTGGCCAGGATTGGATGCAGACAAAGCCATGTTGATGGAGCAATGCCCAGAGTGTCAATACTAACGAAAATTATTGCCGGCAGCTCCCCTACATTCGTGGGAATGGCCAAATAAACTTGAACTCGGTTACATGTCAACTATGCATGTCTTTTCATGGGCTCAATGTTCTTAGTCATTGTGGAAGCCTACTAAAAGTATCTGGACGTGCATAGAGTTCATTTGTCAAGCACGGGGGCAATGATAGAAAAACTGTATGCATGTTTTGTAATACGTAGACTCCCGAAAGTGTTGGTCACAGATAACGGGCAATCATTTACCAACATGGAATTTGAGTATTTCCAAATGTCGAATGGTATTCGACATACAAGGACAGCTCCATACTATCCATCATCCAATGGCAGAAACAGCAGTCCAAACATTGAAGATAGGCTTAAAGAAACAGCCTACAGCTTCCTTAGATTCCAAACTGCCCCAGTTCCTATTTGATTAAAGGACCATCCCTCATGCAACTACAGGGAGAGCTCCAGCAGAGTTGCTAATGGGGAGAAGATTCCGCACCATGTTAAATCTGATCTTCCTGGACCTGGTGGAGAGGGTGAAGCGGCATCAGGAATGTCAATGCCCAACACAAGACTTCACTAAGTGAGAGAGACAGTTTACTTCGGGGCACGAAGTTTTGTGGTGGAACTATGGCAGTGGCCCTGCATGGGAAAGGTGCTTGGTCAACGCGAAGTCAGGTCCAGTGACATATAACGTTCGGGTAGGTGTGACAGTCCTGAACAAGCATGTGGACCATATGAAAACTGCAAACCTGCAAACAGTGCAGGAGAAAAACGTACCTGGCTCCTCAACAGCCTTTCCAATTGTTCCAGAACCCATTGGTTTTCCCTTTCTGTCAAGTGTTGAAGATACCTTGGAATCTGTGATGGATACAGCAATGTCAATGCCTTGACACCTGCCACTTGAAGAAGAGAATTAATTTTTTCCGAGACGCTCTGGGCATAAGACATACGTTACGCATCACCCATATCAGAGGCAGGGTACCAGCCTATGTCCTTGGTTGCAGAGGGGGAGGGATGTAGTGATTATAACGAGGTCAGCCAGGTGGACCTCATACAATATGAGTTCCCTGATTGGGGCTGTTAATCTGATCCAATCAGGGAGCCCTGGCTGACAGATAAGAACCGAAGTGTCAGACATCTTGTTCACTCTTGAGGGAGCTGGATCAGAGTCAAGGACTCTCCGCATGTAAATGAAAGGTGACTTGGTGACGGGATAGTGGCCTCTGTGGAGTGATTTCATGATTATGGTGCAGAGGCCCTGTACTGTTAAGCTGTAACACTGAGAGCCAAAAAAGAGCAGGATCGTTCCTGTGGATCAAGGCTGGCCTAGGTTCAACGTTATTTCCCACTGGTGTACCTTGTTGCTAGAAACTCTCGGTTACCTTAATTTGTTAATTTAACTTAAATGAGGTCAAGCACTTCAAAATGGCTGTAACCTCTTCTAATATGTAAAATCACTGACAAGTGTCTTCCTGAATTGTGCAGCAAGTCTCCTTAGAAATTGGCTACAGACTAACATTTATAAAGTTGTTGGAGACTTTCTTCATTTTGTCCTCTTGCAAGGTGAAATGGAAGATATCCACATGTGAGATGACATCATTCAAAATGAAACAGATTCCAGTCTCAGCACAGAAGTTATGATTGACATCACTTTGAGGTCTTTTCAATCATTAATGCAGATGATGTTGCTGGAAGCAAAACCTTCATAGGCCATTTTGATGAACCAGGTGTTCCAGTGGATAGCAGTCTTGCCTTTGTGCTCGAGCATTGAGCGTTCAATTCCCAATCCAGGACTTATCAAATCTGTCACTGCAGTGCAGTTCAGAGGGGCTATTGCACCAGTGAAAGTACTGTTTCTCAGATGTGATGTTAAACCAGTACCCGATTTGTCCTCTTGGATAGATGTAAAAAAAATTCAGTGGCACTATTTCAAAGAAGAGTAGGGGAGTTATCTTTGGTGCCCGATTCAATGTCTATTCTTTAATTAACATCAGAAAAATATATTTTCTGGTTATTATCTTAATGCTGTTTGTGGAAGCTTGCTGTTTACCAATTGATTGTCATGTTTCTTACATTGTAACAGTGACGATATTGAAAATATTTAATTGACTGTAAAGTACTTTGGAATGTTTGGTGGTCACACGAGACACTATAAAAATGCAAAAATGTTTCAAATGACATTTATGTTTCATTAGAGCCACCATTTTTTGGCGAAGATGTTGTCCCAATTAATGCTGAACAGGAGCGGTTGGCCAGAGAAAAAGTTATGCTTCCCTGCCCAGTTAATGGTGAGAGTCTGTTTTCTGTCAAAATTATCAGAAACTAGAACCCTGATTTTAAGTGGAGGTGATGGTGGAACCAACATTCGAGGCTTGAGGAGGTCGCTGCAGTTCCTATAATGTAGTATTTCTGTCATGTGATCTCTTACATCACTACTGATGGAGCTTACTATTTACATATTTGAATAATCATCCTTTATGCAATTATATGAAGGGACTAAGTCAACTAATACTATTCTTTTAGCAGAGAAAGAGAAATTGTAATTTAATAGAGCTGTTTAAAATTATGAGGAGTTTTGATATTGTTGATAGGAAAATTGTATTCACTGACTTTAGGGTATTAACCCAAAGTGAGGACTGTGACACCTTTTTCTTTTTAACCCCTTCTCTGTCTCAACAAATATTATTATTCTTTTTGACTTGCAGTGATCACATTTCAATTAAAACATAATCAACTAGATCAAAATGAAGGAACCAGTTGCAAGATTTTTTTTTAGTGAAAGAAAGAGGAATTTTATTACCTACTACCCCAAGAAAAGTAATGAATACACATATACATAACCAGATAATACATTTACAAAGAAGCAATGGTTAGGGTGTGTCCTGTTTCCTAAGGTTAGTTGAGGCTTCTAAATAACCTTGATTTCTCAGTTGACAGATATTTTGACAAGTGATTTTTCACCAGCGCTGGTTTCTTAGATTTTTTTTGTTCACTCATAGGAAATGGGTGTCACTGGTTGGCCAGCATTTATTGCCTGTGGCTAGTTCCCTTGAGAAGGTAATGGTGGGCTGCCTTCTTGAGCCGCTGCACTCCATCTGGTGTAGTTAGACCCATAATGCCATTAGGGATAGAATTCCAGGATTTTGACCTGACAATAGTGAAGGTTGAGTGCCAGATACGTTGAGCCAAAATGTTGCAGATTGTGTGCTGCAGTTGATATCCCACAGTGCCTCATGGATGCCCGGTCTTGATTTGCTAGCTCCGTTCTAATTCTGTCCCATTTAGCATGGTGATAGTGCCACACAACATGATGGAGGGTATTCTCAGTGTGAAGGCATGACTTCTTCTCTACAAGGACTAAGTGATGGTCACTCTTACAGATACTGTCATGGACAGATTAATCTGCGGCCAGCAGATCGGTAAGGATGATGTATTTAGGGAGAGAGAGGGAGATGGAATTTTCAGTATCTTTGCTGTTATCAGTCCATGTTGCACAATGTTCAGCACCATTCACGACTCCTCAGGCACTGAAACAGTCCATTTCCAAATGCAGCAATATGGACAATATGCAGGCTAGGACTGAGAACTGGCAAGTAACATTTGTACCACAAAATGCCAGGCGATGACCATCTCCAGCAAGAGAGTATCTAACCATCATCGCTTGACATTCAAATTCATTACCATCACTGAATCCCCCACTATCAGCATCATGGGGGTTACCATGGACCAGAAACTGAACTGGACTCACGACATAAATACAGGGGCTACAAGAGCATGTTAAAGGCTAGGAATCCTGGATGAGTTCAGCTCCATCAAAACTCAAGAAACTTAACGCTATCCAGGGCAAAGCAGCCTGCTTGATTAGCACTACATTCACAAATGTGCACTCCCTCTATCACTGATGCTCAGCAGCAGCAGTGTGTACCATCTACAAAATGCAGTACAGAAATTCACAAAGACTCCATGGACCTTCCAAACCCATAACCACTTTAATCCAGAAGGACAAGATACATGGGAACAGAACCAACTGAAAGTTCCCCTCCAAACCACTCACCATCCTAATTTGAAAATATATCACATTCTTTCACGGTCACTGTGTCAAAATCTTGGAACCACCACCAGTGGTTCCCAGCTTCTTTGTTGCTTTCCTATGGTTTAATTCATGTGACCCTTCTTTAGCCACTACAACCTTTCCCTATACAGTCCTATATAGGACTTCTGAATCTCTTTTGGTTTGCATCTTTTCTGTTACTTGCTGCTGCCTTTCTCCAGTCTTGCCAGCCTCTCCTGGCTGTACTTTGAGAGGTATATTTTACTACCAGCCAAGTCATTCCCAAATAAAAAGTCTAACCCATAAATTTGCATATTTGGGTGACCCCCTATTGCTACCATGCCTGTAACAAGTTAACTCGGTAAGTAAATCTTAATCAGTGGCGCTCTATAGTCTTTTTCATGAAACAGCGAAACATCCCTAGACCTGTACTCAAAAGCTGTCACAATGAAGGCCAACATATCATTCGCCTTCTTTACCGCCTGCTGCACCTGCATGCTTCCCTTAAGCGACTGGTGCACAAGGACACCCAGGTCCTGCTGCACACTCCCCTCTCCCAATTTACAGCCATTCACGTAGTAATCTGCCTTCTTGATTTTGCTTCTGAAGTGAATAACCTCACATTTATCCAAATTATACTGCATCTGCCATTGATTTTCCCACTCACCCAACCTGTTTTAGATCATAGAATCCCTCCAGTGTGGAAACAGGTCCTTCGACCCAACAAGTCCACACCGACCCTTGGAGCACCCCACCCAGACCCATTCCCCTATAACCCACCTAATCTAAACATCCCTGAACACTACGGGCAATTTAGCATGGCCAATCCACCTAGCCTGCACATCTTTGGGCTGTGGGAGGAAACCGGAGCACCCGGAGGAAACCCACACAGACACGGGGAGAATGTGCAAACTCCACACAGACAGTCACCCAAGGGTGGAATCGAACCCAGGTCCCTGGCGCTGTGAGGCAGCAGTGCTAACCAGTGAACCACCGTGCTGCCCAACCTGTTGAGATCATGCTGAAGGATCTCTGCATCCTCGTCACAGTTCACCCTCCCACCCAACTTGGTATCATCTACAAGCTTGGAGATCTTACATTTTGTTCCCTCATCCAAATCATTGATATATATTGTGAATAGCTGGGGTCCCAGCACTGATCCCTGTGGCACCCCACTAGGTACTGCCTGAGAATTTGAAAAGGACTCAACAATTCCAACTTTTAGCTTCCTCTCTGCCAACCAGTTTCCCATCCATCTCAATACACTTTCCCAATTCCATGCGCTTCAATCTTGCACATTAATCTCTTATGCAGGACTTTGTCAAACGCTTTCTGGACACTGGTCTGGCCTGTATGTGACTCCAGACCGACAGCAATGTGGTTGACTCTTAATTACCCTCTGGGTAATTAGGGATGGGCAATAAATGCTGCCCTAGCCAGTGACACCCTCAACTCATGAATGAATAAAAACAATCCGATTGATTTAAAAAAAGAGCAGATTTCTATTTGTAAATCTGATTTTGTTAATGATGAGCTTGAGTGCAAAACTGAGCCAAACAAACTAACTCTTTGTATCAGCCTCTTGACTAATGACTTACCAAACCTGATTAATCTGCTTGTCTAAATTTCTGTTTTATACATTTTGTGTTATTTTCAAGATAATGAACATTAGTGGTCAAGAATCTGGAATTCCCTTCTAATTCCGCCGCCACTGTTCTATCTGCCTTTAAACCTGGTCAGATTTTACCCATAATTAAAGCAGAACATCTTACTTTGTGTCCCTGCACCACATTGAGAAAAAGACTAATATTCCACTTCACCGCCCTCGAGTAGATGGTTGTGAGCCACCTTCTTGAACTACTCCAGTCACAAACAGAGCGCTACTGGGAAAGGAGTTCCAGCATTTTGATCCAATGACAGAAAAAGAATGGCAATATTTTTCCAAGTCAGGATGATGTGTGGCTTTCAGGTCAGCTAACCTGCAGAACGTCATGTTCCCATGTCAGCTGCTGCTATTCTAGGGAGTAGGGGTCATGGGTAGCTGTTGAAGATGCTGTTGAAGGAGCCTTGGTGTGTGCCTGCCGTGCATCTTTTAGATACTACATATTGCCATCACTTTGCATCAGTGGTAGAGAGCGTGAATGTTTAAGGTGCTGATTCAAGTCAAGCGAGCTGCTTTGTCCTGGTTGGAGTTAGGTTTCTGAATGTTGTATCTGAACTCATCAGACAGGTGGAGAGTATTTCATCACAACCCTTACCCGCACCTACCGCTCTCTGTTACTGACTATCCTTCATGTTAACTTGCTGTAATGCCTCACTTGTGTCTCTAAAATTCCTCTGACTTACCTTTCAAGAGGTTTCCTGGCTTTCTGTCCCATCTGCATGGCCATTCCCACCGTTTCTAATGTGACAAGGTCACTGAGACCTTCTGAAGCATGACCACCTGAGTGAAAATCTTAAGTCTGACTTTGGGCCAGTTGATATGGGCAGGCAGACTTCCCGCCTGGGAAGATGGTTGCTGGCAAAAGACTGCATCCTCTGCCTGCTCAGTGGCCATGTTTTTGACCGTCCCATGCCCGTTTGGCGCCATTCCCGTACTGTAAGCTCCGCTTCTTAGTTGTAGGCTGCTGGTCCTTTAAAGCTGACCCTGCAGCTTCAAAAGTCCAACCAGCAACTCAGATAGAGAACCTCCATACCAGTTAAGGGGGACCCTCCATCAGAAACCCAGGTCAGTGACTGTTCATTGTTCATGCCACCCACCCACCCCAAATCACCACCACCTGTTTTCCAGATTTGGAAACAAACCTGACCCCTATTTCCCAATCCTAGCCGTCCTCTCTGTGAACTTTCTGTAACTTGCTGTTTCCAGTTACAGATTTACTGTAACTCATTTAGTGAGACATATGTATATCCTGATCAAACATTTTTATGTACACCACTTGAATTCCTTTATCAATGTGGCCTCGTGATGCCTGTAACTCATTTGATCTTATATATTTATATGTCCCCAGGAACTCCTCCACCAATTATACGCTGGCTAAAGAATGGCTTAGATCTTCCAGCTCATGAACCAGGGATTCTAATACTGGAGGATGGCTCTCTTCTCATTGATTCAGCTTCACCCAATGATAGTGGAGATTATTTGTGTATTGCAATGAATGAGGCTGGCTCTTCCAAAAGGAAATATCGATTGAATGTCCAAGGTAAATGATTAAACTCTGAGACTAAATTTTCCCACTACTGGATTGCTGTACAGAGAGCTAAACTGGGGCCAATGGCTTCCATCTGTGCTGTGAAGACTGTGGGTTGGGTCTTTCATTTTTGTTGAGTGCCTTAGTCACTTCTGGAAAAGATGTTAAAACACTCAACCTGGCTTTTTAGTCAAGGCCTGTTGTATCGTCTTCCAGTCAGGCAATTTGGATGGCAGAGACTAGCTTTTTACAAAATGGAGTCCCCAGAAGCAGACCCACTCAGTGAGAGCTCCCAGCCAAACAAAGGCCAGCAGCTCTTGCACTCAGCAGAGCATAAGTGAAGGCCATGGCTGCTGCCAGGCAGACACCCAATATCATGAAAACCAAGGTCTCAGTTAAGTGCTTCTGAGGTTGGTATGGTTTCTGGGGTTGGCAGTCGCAGGGAGAATGGAACCACAAGGTTGGAAGCAGTCACCCCATTGTCAAATGCATAGTCCCTCAGTTGTATACAAATTAGTGCAAATAGAGGGATCCCCTGCAACTGACAGTATACCCACATAGATTTTTCATTCAGATGGGCTGACTCTTCTTTCTGCCTTAAGCTGAAATATTTCCAGGCTGGAGTAGACCTAAAGGTGGGCCTTAACTCATCTGTAATTGACCTTGAGTTAAATTGGCAATGGGATGTGCAAGTAAAGCTTGGCTCTTCCTGCCGGGAGCTTAATCCAAGTGGAGGTGGCTAGGTGGCCGGATTCTGGGATCCCACCACCCTATCTAATTAAATTGCCTTCCTGTCCCAGACCTGCTGTCTGCAGGATCAGAAGATTTGGTACCATGGGGAGCCTCAAGATCTGCCACTCCAAATTTCTTGGCTCAGCTTGGGAAGTTTCCATTAGCTTTCAGTGGAGCTGGAGTTTCCCACAGGATTCTGTTGATCTTATTGCTGGCAAGGTTGATGGCTAATGGCAGAACTTTGCTTGGACCACACTTTGAATTAACTTGACTGTAAATTATATTGAGAGGTAGAACATTACAGTCCAGACTATTTCCTCCATATCTGACATCATTAAATACACTACATTGTTCTCACATACATTTACTGATTGACTGAACTTAAGAACTCTGTATAATGCTTTCTGTGATCTGGTTGTTAAAGGGCATCTAAATAGAATGCACAGTGGAGGAGTACAATGAAGCGTTGGCAATTATAAATTAATCCCGTAACCTTGATTAAAGTTTCTGATCTGAACCATTCATTGGTTGCAAAGTTTAGGTAAAGTTGAAGGAGTGGATTGCTTCCCACTCCTGTTAACCTTGAGTCTGTGAGGACAGCACAAGAAAAATGATAAGGGAAAGTATTAGCATCTTTCTGAAAAAAAAGTAGAACACATGAGGTCCAGCATCACACTGGAACAAGCTACCAAAGGAAATAGTCACAGTGCCATTATTTGAAAATTATAAGACCCATATTTAGATTATTTTTATTAATTAGTTTCATTGTATGAACTAGCATCATACCTGGTTTCGCTAGCGCTATGCATATTCATGTTATTGGAATTCACATATTAGTCAGGACAATTAAAGCATGGTGTTTTGATTCACATCCACCGTCAGAATTTATAACCTCTTGATGGAGATTACCAGCCCCCGTGGTACGCAATTTATGCTAGATTATCAATGCTGCTGAGATTATATGAGTCAGACCTTTTCAGTGAGTAGAAATTAAAGGGCAACCTGTTGGCCCAACAATTTTAAACAATCAAGCTTTACGGCAGCTCATTCGGAAAATACGTTTTATTGATTTTTACTGGGAGCAAACTGAAAATGAAGTATCATGGAGGACACTCACTCCTGTATCTTGCTTTCTTTATTTTTTTGATGGCTGAATCAAAGTTGATGGTATGTCAGCAACAATCGAAATACAGCATAAGTATAATTTGTACAACCAAGAATGTTTTTTTAAGTGTTTTGGAATATTTAAGCTGTATCCTTTCAATCTTCCTCATTCCTTTTCCCTTGTTCTAGTTCCTCCTGAGATTCAAGGAAATGGCCGAATGCAGAACATCACAGCGTTGGTTAATCAGCCATTGATGTTGGAGTGTGATGCCAGTGGCACCCCAACACCAACCGTCAGCTGGTATAAAAATGAGCAGCGGGTATGTATGGTCAATTGATATTTTAAAATGGGCTCTGTTTTTAGTGGAATTGGAAAAGGGTAGTGATGACATTGCATGAAAACACCTTGCTTTGTAGCGATTAGACAGTTCGGTTCAGAACTCTTGAGGCTATGTTCCTAGTTCAAGCTATTTGTATGAGGTGAAAGCCAGAAAGTATATTAGAGCTGGGGTGCTCACTTAGAGATTATTTAATTTACAACCTGCCAAGATCCCATATGGTTTAGTGAGAATTTGGTTTGTGATGTAGGGAGAACCAAAGAAAGGTTTTAGGACAACTTGGAGAAAGTACTGGAATAAGTTTGTACTCCCTCCTCGCTGAAAGAGTGACTTACCCTTAAGCTACTAACAGGCTCTAGCTAAGCTGGTAGGACCACATGTCTTTCACCAAGTGAACATTTTATGTGTCTCTTAGACTGTAAAGTCGGAAATGGAGACAGCTATATTCTAAAACCAGCTGGCGTGCTGAATTACTATCCTGTTCCTGACACCTGTCATTTTTGTTGGTCAATTAACCAAGCTAAACAACCCCTGCAAAGTTGCAACTAATTGGGTTAATGTTGATCTTATCCAAATCTTCCATTCTTTGAATGCAGATGTTGCTTTAATTATGAGGACTGTAGTAACTGTAACAGATGTATTAGTTTTGAACTTGATGAAGATTTACAAGTAACAATACTGAATATGTCGTCACAATGAAGACTATGAGCTGTCTGATGATTGGGAGCGTCAGTGAGAGCTGACAAGCTGCAAACCTTAATCACAGGGAGCAGTCATCAGCATATAAATAAATTAACTATATTTCTCATTTATTTGTCCCCCTTGAAGGTGACAGAGACCAATACAGTCCGACTCTTGAACGGTGGCCAAATACTGCGACTTCCAAAAACCCGCAAAGGGGACTCTGGAATGTATTCTTGCAATGCTGTTAATGTTGCTGGTACAGCCAAAAAACATTTCAATCTACTGGTGCAGGGTAAGGATCAACAGAATTATGACAATCCGAAATTTCTTCCTAAGCTTCACTCTTTGTGCTCTCCTTTGGCATGGAGATGAAATAATGATTCATCACAACCACCTGTTTCGCTGACTCATCATTTCCTGGCTCTAAAAGCTATGGAACTGTTACTTTCCTCTTTTTTTAATGCTTTCCAGTAATCTGTAACCTTTTAAACATTCACAGTTGCCATCAGCTAACATCTACTGTCCAACAACTTTGGATGCGTGCATTACCGTTGTCCTTAGCCCTTTACAGACAATTCCTAATTTAAAAAGAAACGTTTTCTGCTATTTTAGTGACTGATAAGATTTGCACCCTCATCTGCATTTAGTACCTCCCTCAATCTTTGGATCTGGAGTCACTCAAGAGGTAGCCATTTTGGTGAATTCTGAACTTGAACTCATGTGTCATACCAGTGGAGTCCCTTTTCCACACATTGCATGGAGTAAGGATGGAGAGTGAGTACAATGAGAAGTCTTGTTTATTTCACCCTTCTCTCAGCACAGTGTTGTCATATTGTTCTAATGGTAAGGAGGTATAGATCTACAGATCTATTCCATTCTCTAAAATATAAATATTCTTTGTCTGATCCCAGTATGGTGGTTCTCCACCTTTTTCATCTGTAGTCCACTTACGATGGACAAAAAAACCTTACACAAGCTACTGGACCTATACCGTTTGCTTTCACTTCCCACCGTAGTAAAACTTACCATAATTAATAGGATCATATGGAAACTATAAATATTTTGCTCTGTTTTTACACTTAAATGTAGTAATTTTTTGTGCATTAATGTTTACTGTCATAACACATTAAAGTTATCAATTCATACCAAAAGCAAAATTATATACATTTTCATATTATGAACATTAATACTGCAAGAAAACATGTTTATTTAAAACATTTTAATACGTGTTGTAAAACCCATACAGTAATCTTTTACTGAGAAACTAACATATATTTTACATCTGTACGAAATAAATTAAGTAAACAGGAACATTAATCTTGCTTGTAAAACCACATTGATATTTCACGCAGTTATGAGAACTCAGGCCATGCAGCCAGGAGTTGGTCTGATTATCTGACAATACTTGAGTGTTGACAACACTTGAGGACACCTTCATCTATCTGTTAAAGAGAATAGAGAAATCTGTATATGCTGTAGAAATTATTGTCTCCTGCATATGTTCATGAAATCCTCTCCATAATATGAAGAAAGATGCACTCCATATTTGACATATAACCCATCTTTATAAGACATGCCACATATATAAAACGAAAGAGTAGCACACAGTAAATAGGTGGTCAGGAGCTGGGCAATATTTTTGGTGTACGTGTGATAGTTTTAAAGTTAGTATCTGTGACAGTAAAATAACATGTAGGGATGGATGATAATGCTGCAAAGGATATTTGTATTGTCTGTGGTATTGGAAGTGTGGCCTTTTCAGGGGCAACTAGGGATGGGCATTAACAATTAAATTATGTTTTAATTTGGGTTATAAGAGCCCTATCTCCAGGTGTCCAACGTGTGGAGTTTACCGAAGAAGGGCAGACATTACGCATTCAAACAACTCGCCTCATCGATCAGGGCCTCTATCAGTGTATTGCCTTCAACTCAGCTGGACAGAAGAGCAAACACTTCAAAGTCAATGTTTACGGTATGGAATGGAACATCTCTGATTGATTCTATGCTTCAAGGTTATTTACTTTCCCTGCAATAATTTATCTTTTGAAGTAACTATTTGTCAAGAATCACAGCATGCTAAATTTGACAGATAATGATTTAATTACCAAGATCTGGAGTACCTTCTTACATATTAAGAGGCCAAACTCCGTCTCCCACAGTATAGATAACGTTCACAGAGGATCATACATTGTTACGCTCTAATCTGCTGTCCAGGTACAGTTCAGTAGTCTTAGGTCAAAACTTGGACTGCTTCCTTTTGACTAAACTCACCTGTTGAAAATGAATTAAAGAGATGAGGAAAGATTGCAAAGAGAAAGAAGGTGGAAGAGATTTGGTGGAAAATATAGCAAAGTGGGAGGCAGAAATACAGTAAAGGTGTTGAACAATGATGGAAGAAGAACAAATCCCACAAAAAAAATATAGCAAAGCTTGGAATTAGCTGGTACTGATTGGAATAGAGACAGTAGAGAGAAAACAAGGAGGAAAAGAGTGAAATAAGTAGTCCGATAAAAGGAGAGGATGTTAATAGACAGAAGGAGAGACTGAACAGACAGAGTAGCATAACGCAGAAGGTAGAAGGAAGCAAAATGTGAGTGACAGAAGACAATAAAGGGAAGAAAGAAGAGAGAGAAAGAGAAAAAGGAGATACAGTGAGACTGCGAAGTAATGGTACAGCAGGTGGAAATAGCGGGTAAAAAAAGATGACTGTTGGGAGTCAGGTGTTGCTGGCAAGGCTGCACCTAAAAGATGACTCCTGGGTCTCAGATACTGCTGACAAGACTGTGCCTATTTACTCAATAAGGGTGGTGATGGTGAGTCTTCCCCTTGAAGGCACTGTCACTGCCTTGAGGCAGCTAATGCTAAATGCAGCTTTAGCAAAGACGGAGCAGTATTTCCCCTGTATATCTGTACTGAAAATATACAGAAAAACTGCAAGATTTATTTGTACTTGTGGATGTTAAGAAAGAATATATAGGGAGGAAACAGGAATAGAGGAAAAGTCAGAGAATGTTGTAAACTCTACGGCACACTGCACACAATTCCATGTCATGCTTCTGGCACTGTGATCTCTCTTATATTGAGTACTGAATTAGTGTTGAATTTGGAATTGCAACTTTATCCACCAGGGACTTAGTGGAGAAGATAGCAGCTCATTTCACATTATTGAGTCATTGGACATGAGGCAGCTTTGTGTGGGTTGGAATTGGACTGGGATTCGATTCCTTATGAATGTTCAAGCTTGTCTCTTTTAGTTGCGTGGGCCTTATATCAGCCAGACTGATACATGAAGGGTTACCTTTCAATTGTTGTTTTGGCATTACTTATAGGATAATGTCAGTTTTGCTTCTGGAAGTTCCTCTCTTCCCACCTCACCTGACAGATGTATGACTGAGAGAATTGTCTCATTTTGTCTTCTCCAGTACCACATGTAGTTGTTGGTAAGAAGCTCTGGCCCTCAGGTCTTATTCTCCTCTTGAATTTTTTTCTCACTCTCTCCTAAGAGATGGAGCAGCTTCCACTTGTTGTTTTTCTACTTCCTATCTTGGGAAATGAGGTGAAACTTTCTACTTGGGCTGGGGAATAAAGCCAGTGGAAGTGGATAATGACACTCCTGTTAAAGTTGAAAGCTCCACTGTTCATCCTATCTGGCTGTCTGGGGTTTGGAAGTTGTCGAGAGAGTAGCTCAGCACTCCCTAAAAATAACACTGAAGTTGGATTATCTGGCTGTAAGTTAAGTTACAATATCAGTTCAATTCAGTTAATGACAAATGTGCTTTTGACCTAGATTCTAGAAATGTGTACTCTGTTCTGAAGCCATCTGAGATAAAAAGGCATCTGAAATGTTATGCTTAGCCCTAATATTCATGAAAAATGTGTACATATCAGTCCAGGGTTCTACTCAGTATCGCAATAAAATGCCATATGTGTACATCATACAGATAGGTTGAGGCTCCAATTAATGCTCCAAAATGGAACATCCTTTACTGTGCTCACTATCTAGGCAAAAACACTGACCTAATGATTATTTTAAGGTGAACATCAGTTTAGTGTTCGGGGATTGAAACATTGCCAATGACGGAACAGTTAAGGCATCTCACGGCGCATGTTTTCTGTCAGTGTTAGGGGATGATCCTCCATGCCCCTTGGAACCTCCTTCACTTGTACTGACTTTCAGGGTCTTGCTCACCTATCACAAGTAATACACACGCAACATTCTGCTAGACATCAGCAAACAATGTGGGTAATCCTTAGCCAAAACATGGAATCATCTTCCATTAGCAGAGATCCTTGCTGGTTTTAAAATTAACTGTACTGTTGTTACTTGGTATTCCTTCAAACTTCTCTCCTGATGGAGCTGGCTAATGCTATGATGTAGTCTGTCAATTGCTGGCCGCCATGTGGTACCATGGTTATTTCTTGCGCATAAACAAAGTCAGTCAGTGTTCACAATCTTTTCAAACATGGATGGTGTGATTGTTGAGCATAGTGTTGAACCCTACCTAGAGTCCTAGAATCGCCAACCAACATAGTATAAAAATTAAGAGCCAGACCTTTCAAAATTGAAATTAGGAAACTTGTACATGAAAAAAATGTAGTACTCTCTTGAAACATGCAAATGAAACATGCTGGATGATTTGTTAATTTTAAAACTGAAATGTTTGTTAACCAACAGTATTTAGAGGTTTGGAACGCAGGTGGGTAGAAAAGCATGTGCATGTCACTGAATAGCAAAACAAACTCGAGGGACTAAATGACCTCCTTGTGTTCATACATTCATATAATTACTATGGGAATCAATGCAAGAGTCTTGCCCTTGCTACTATGAGAAATGCCGAAACGACAACTGTTACGGTTCATGCTAACTCCTAATACGTTTGTGCTGTGAACAAAAGTAACTTCCTTACCATAAGTATGTTTTTCACAAACTGAAACATGCTGAGTTTACAATAGAATGGAACATGATGTGAATGGAGCAGCCTACCTGAAATTATTAATACATGTACAAAGGACTTGGGATGATAGCAATTTCAATTATTGATGTTAAAAAAAAGTGAGCAGCATCTTTGATTGAGATTTCAAAGTTTCAGTATTTTTCTGAAATCAAGTGTTGAATATTCTGTAACAAGATTCAGACTGAGTGTTCTCAATTTAATTGGATTCCTAACTTCATGAATACTTCATTGGCTACAGGACATCCCAAGGCTGTGAAACACATTCAAAAATGTAAGTACATCTTCACTTTTTTCCTAGTCCCTCCCACAATCCAAGGAGCGAACGATACCAAGGAGGTAATTGCCCAGTTGAAGAGTCACATCAGTCTACGGTGTGACGCACATGGAATTCCTGCCCCAGGGATTACGTGGCTGAAGGATGGACGACCAATTGTGTCCAGCTCGAAAATGATGTATGTTGAAAGAGGCCAGTTTTTGCTGGTTAATGAGGTGCAGACATCTGATGCAGCATGGTACACATGCAGAGCAAGGAACATTGCAGGCACAATGGAGAAGTCTTACAGAGTGCAGGTTTATGGTAAGTCGCCTGTTTTACTGAGGTATAGAAACTGAAAGAACTGCAGATGCTGTAAATTTGGAACAAAAACAAAAGTTGCTGAAGGAAGTTCTGAGAAAGAGTTACCGGACCCGAGACTTTAACTCTGATTTTTCTTCAAAGATGCTGCCAGACCTGGTGAGCTTTTCCAGCAACTTCTGTTTTTGTTACTGAGGTATGGCATGGCTCCAGCAGCGAGTAATATAAGGCAATAATATAAAACGAAGAACTGCCTTTGTTGGAGATCTGAAACAAAAATAGAAATTGCTGGAGAAACTCAGCGGGTCCAATACTGATGAAGAGTCACTGGACTCGAAATATTAACTCTGCTTTCTTCCCACAGATGCTGCCAGACCTGCAGAGCTTATCCAGCAATTCCTGTTCTTGTAATTATAAGCCATGTTTTGTGACATTCCATTCCATTAGTAGAGACTAACTTAGCAGGAGTGTGTAATAACCGGTATGGCTCACCAGAACACTTAATATTGTTCAATGCAAATTCCATACTTATTTTTCATGGATTGATCTTTGTGAAAGTGAAATATATTACTCTTTTCTTTTTGTTCTCTAGTCTGAGCATTGGAGATACATGTGTCAGAAACATTCTCCATTGTAAAATGTAGAAAATGTTGTGAATCATACTGAACCGTAACTAACATTACATATTTAAAAACAAAACTGCACTTTATTTCATTCAGTGGCAGCACTTGGCATCCCAGGAAATAGTTGGCAAATTAAATATACTTATTATTTATTCATTGTCTCAATTAAAATGACGCCCAACTATGTGTGATATAAAACTATATTGTTGAAAAAAGCACATGAAGTTACAACTAACTGGCTAACAGAAGCTCTGAAAAATGATTGTATAAGCTGGACTTCACAGCCTATCAGAAAATAACCAATAGGCTATGTAAGTTTACTAACGGTACAGGGAATATATCAGTGCAGGCATATTAATGGAGAGGCAGTAGCCTAGTGATTATTATCACACGACTATTAATCCAGAGGCAATGTTGTTGACTCTTAACTGGCTTTTCATTTTCAAATATTCGTAGCCTAATTGGCTGTCTCTGTTTTCTGTGTAGAAATCTGTTGTTATGAAGATTCATTCTCTCTAGAAAATATGCAGAAATGTAAGCAGTGCACGTAGTCAGGAACAGCTGCATACATTCACAAACCACCTGACACACCAGGCAATGCTGGCATGGTACATAAGAACACTCCCAGAGATAGAAGGCTCACACGTTACCCAAGGAGCATAATGGGTACAAGATAATATTCCAGACAACATGTACAGACTGCGCAAAATCATTGTTATATGGCAAAAATCCTGTTGTTCTGTTGTTGAGTTTTCATTGCTGTCATCGGTGTTGATGTCATCTCCTTTTTTTCTCTTTAGTTCCACCCAGTATTGAGGGTCGCTTGCACCATCCACTGAAGACAAAAGCAGTAATTGGTCATTCTTTGACATTAAGCTGCTCCTCAAGCGGTCACCCTCCTCCTGTCCTCTCTTGGCTCAAAGATGGTGTCTCATTGACAGACAGTGACAGAATACAATTGATGGGTGAAGGAAAGGCCCTTAAGATTGAGAATGTCAGAGAGAGTGATGCTGGCACCTATACATGTATGGCTACCAGTGCTGCTGGAGAAGAACACCTTCAATACACTGTGGACATCTTAGGTAGGGAAACTGTTGTAATCTTCTGGGACTCGGGAAAAAGATTGCTATTCCTAGGAGAATGGGCCCTAGTTGACGTGGGGTGTTTGCACTCTGCTATCTTCTCTGAGATATGCCTTTAACTCAAAGGTAATTGGTTAGGCCACTTTTGGAATACTGCATTCAATTCTGGCCTCCCTGCTGTAGGAAGGATGTTGTGAAACTTGAAAGGGTTCAGAAAAGATTTACAAGGATGTTGTCAGGGTCGGAGGATTTGAGCTATAGGGACAGGCTGAAGAGGCTGGGGCTATTTTTCCTGAAGCATTGGAGGCTGAAGGGTGACCTTTTCGAAGTTTATAAAATCAAATGGGGCATAGTTAGGGTGAATAGCCAAGGTCTTTTCCCCAGGGAAGGGGAGTCTAAAACTAGAGGACAAAGGTTTAAGGTGAGAGGGGAAAAATTTAAAAGGGACCTAAGGGGCAATGTTTTCACTCAGAGGATGGTGCATGTATGGAATGGGCTGCAAGAGAAAGTGGTGGAGGCTGGATGGGTATATGCATAGGAGGGGTTTAGAGGGACAGTGGCCAAACGCAGGCAAATGGGACTTCATTAATGTAGAATATCTGGTTCGCATGGCCAAGTTGGACTGAAGGGTCTGTTTCCATGCTATACAGCTCTATGACTCTGTGACAAGCACTGCATATGTATTGGAAAACCATCACCTTAGGTTCCCCTCCAACTCACTCAACATCCTGACTTGGAGCTCTCAACCCATTCCTTCACTGTTGCTTAGTTAAAATCCTGGAACTCCCTTCCTAATTGTACTGTGGATATATCTGCAGCATATGTGTTGCAGTGGTTTCAAAAACCTGATTCACCACCACCTTCTCGAGGGCAGATATGGATGGGCAAAAAATTCTGGCCTAACCAGTAATGTGCATGTCCTGTGAAAGAATGAAAAAAAAAGGCCCAGGCTGATGTCTGCAGTAGCTGTATGTGCAATGAACGTGGCATTGTTCCAAGTAGTCAAGGGCCTACAGTATTGTCATTTATATAACTTTGCATAATACAAGTCAATTCAAAAGCATAAGCAACAATAATCTGTGTTATGTTGGACAGTGCTTTCTTAGCTTGAGGTTAAAGCAACTTGTCAGGATAGAGAGCGGTTTACTTTTGTTTTGTGAAAATTTAAGGTCATGTGAGGAGAAAATGCGAAAGGTCCGTAACCAGAGTGTACAAATTTAAGACAACTGCAAGAGCTAGAAATGAGTTGAGTTATTTTTTAATGGATCGAAATGTTATGTTCTGGAATGCAAACTTTCAACACTAACTTACAAAACAAAGTTCTGTTTCTACATTAAACATTTTCAGGGCTATGGAGAAAAAGTGGAAAAGTAGGACCAATCAGAGAGTTCATTTAAAGAACTGATACAGACACAATGGACCCGAATGGTCCTTCTGTGCTATATCATTCTATTATTCTATTATTTAGCCCTTATATACCACATTACCAGTAAACCCATCTAGTACTTCAATGCTTTTGCCTCCTTTCTGCTGTAGCTCTGGTCTGAAACTCTTATCATACTCTAGGTTTGTTTAATGTGCATATTCTATAATTAGATTTCAACAGCATGCACTTCTAAGTCTATACAGTCAAAAAGGCTCATTTTTAGGGCAGCCCCCTACATACACGCACTTTTTCTGTGCCTCAGAAAAGACGAAGTGATAATGGGTAAATGGATAATACAGACAATAGCTTAGTTAACACTCAGCTACAGTTACTGATTTTATTTCTAGAGGGAAGAATTGAAAAGTTGAGAAGTTATGCTAAACCTTTATCTAACCTTAGCTATACTTGGAGTATTGTGAGCAGCTCTCGTCAGCATAGTGCACAAAATGAACTTTCAAGGATGAAACCAGAACAGTGCGATTTTATCTATCAGGAAAGGAAGATTAGAGTGGGTTGTTTTTCTTGGAAAGAGAAAGCTGAAGCATGGCCCAATAGAAATCATCAAAATCGTGAATGGTTTTGATACAGTAGGCACAGAATATTTGCAGTAATGAAGAATAAAGCTAAAAGCAATTGATATAAGATCATCATCAAGAAATCAAACAACGTATTTTGAAGAACACTTTTTACCCAGAGAATATGAAAATTAGTGCCAATGGATGTAATACAGCAGAGATGAATTTGAAAAGAAGTTAGAAGAGAATATAAGAGAAAAGAAACAAAAGCTTAAGCTGATAATTACAGAAGGAATGAGGAAGGGGTTTTCAATGGAGCATAAACAATGGCATGGACTGTTTGAACTGAATGGCCTATCTCTGTGCTATTACTATCTACCTGATAATAGAACCTGGAATAGGGTATTCATCTCTTGGCACCTGCTGTGCTATTCAATAAGATAATGTAATTCTTTGAAAATTGTAATCCTCGTTATTAGGGTGATTGTATTTGATTTTGAAAGGAAAGGTTCCTTACCTTGTGGTGTCTTAATTTTGCTCATGTTGTTACGTCACGATGCAATGTGCAGGTAATACTCTTCTTCTCAAGAATGGTGGAACTGACAGAGAGAGCCTTTGGCTTTGTTGCTGCTATGTACTTCCAACCACCTGCCTAAGACATTTGGTCTATACTGTCAGATGATGAAGTGATTTATTAGGATGCATAAAGCACACTGAGCACAGAATTGTTTGGATTTAGGGAGATTGTGTACTATTGAATACTATGCAAAACACTGTTGTCATTTGCACCACCAGTCCCTCCACAGCTGTTGATTGAAGAATCCTCTCATGTGACTGTGACCATTGATAAGCCTCTGGAACTGACATGCAAAGTGACTGGTCACCCACCACCAAAGATAACGTGAGTTTTTATTTTAGTTTGTTGTTCATGCTAATTCTGCATTACATGTTGGTTAATCACAAACAATCATGCATCTCTGGCATTGTTTTGACATTGTCATTGGGGGGACAGTGACATAGTGCTAATGTCACTGTACTAGTAATCTAGAGGCTCAGATTATTGCTGTGCAGACAGCATTGGTGGACCATGAAGCTAGTGGAATTTAAATTGAATTACTAAATCTGGGATTGAAAGCCAGTATGGTGTACGGTGTATGGTGACCATGTAACAATCATTGGTTGTTGTGAAGATCCACCTTGTTCGCTAATATCCTTCAGGAAAATATCTGCTATCCCGTCTCGCCTGTCCTACATGTGACTCCAGACCAGCAATTTGATTGACTCTTAACTGCCCTCTGACCTATCAGCGACTGAACTCAAAAGACAATGAGGAACAGGCAACAAAAACTGGCCTTGCCTGCAACCCTGACCCTTAACCACATCCCATGAAAGGAGAAAGAGAAAAGGTTTCCGCATCTTGCTGTATCACTGTCATAGTTACAGGGCAATGTGCAGTAAATCAGAACTGGTGCAACTGTGTCAAATTATAAAGCAGTCAATACTCAAACTCCAATACCTACAAGAGTATTAGATACAGTGAAATATACCCTCAAATAAATGCAAAATACTGCAGATGCTGGAAATCTGTTATAAAAACAGTAAGTGCTGGAGAAGCTCAGCAGGTCTGGTACCATCTGTGGAGCGAGAAACAGAATTAATGTTTTGAATCTGCCTTGACTCATGTTTGGATTGAAGAGCTCAATTTCTGCTTTTATTATTTAAATACCGTATACATTTTATGTCGATTGGAACACTGAATGTCAGACCAGTCTATACCAGCTTTTTCTTTCACCAAGACCGTCATTCAGTACAGGGCTCATTAATTGTCTAAAATATATTTTTAAAAATGTTGTTTGTGTCTTTTTTCTTTGTAATCTGTATTTGTAATCTGTAATTGACCCCATGCTATCTATTAGCAGTCATGTGTATAGGCATGCATGGTCCCATGTGATTCTAATGTTTATTAAAATATTTCACTGTAGAAATTTATGATCTGTGTGTCGCTGATTAGTAATAATAAAGTATATGTAATACTGTTTACCAACATAATGGTGTTATACTTCAGAAAACCAGTGGTGAAGGATAGAACAGGAGCTAATCTTTATAGACTGTCATAAGCATTTATTTGCAAAGTTACACAGTACAGTGTACTGTGTACAAAGTTACACCTGCTAATCCAATGGGAGACAGTGGCATGATGGCAATCTCGATGGATTAGTAATCCAGAGGCCCAGATGAATAGTCTGATGATATGAGTTTTGATTCCACCATAACAGCAGGTGACCATGAAACTATCCTTGATTGTTGGAAAAAATCAATCTGGTTCACAAATGTTCTTAAGTAAGATTTTCTTCCGTCCTTTCCCTTTACCCAGTCTGGCCTACGTGCAACTCAAGACCCACAGAAATAGATTGACACTGAACTGCTGAACTGTCCTCTAAAATGGCCAAACAGTCAAATCAGTTCAAGGGCATGTTGAGATAGGCAATAAATATTGACCTTGCCAGAAATGTCCACATCTCAATAAGTTTTTTTAAAAAAATGCAGTTTCAGTCCATACAACAATACCAACAAAAACAGAAGTTGCTGGAAAAGCTCAACAGGTCTGGCAGCATCTGTGACCCTCCGGACCCGAAACGTGAACTCTGATTTCTTTCTTCACAGATGCTGCCAGACCTGCTGAGCTTTTCCAGCAACTTCTGCTTTTGTTCCTGTTTTATAGCATCCGCAGTTCTCTCAGTTTTAATTCAGTTTCAGTCCATGTTTATTTCTACGATAGCAAGTGAATCCCAAGTTAATGCCTGCCATTAGTAGTAGTACCATTAAAACCATAGTAGCACAAGCCAAACATAAACACGCACAGGAATTCCTCGAGGCATGGTTCTCAACCCATAATGCAATCAACAAACATATAGAATTGGACCCCTTATACAACCCCATACACAACAAAACTGGAACTAACACAACTCACCATAACGGACCAGACAGTATAAAATTCAAGTGGAGTAGAATAACATTGCTTATCAGAGATCTCACTGATGATGTCACCTAGCATGATGACGAAACATCTGAACAAAAACAAGCCAGCTCGGGGAGCAAGTCAACAACTTCACCCTCAATCCGAGCTACAAATCTTTGCTAAACCTTAAATATATACAACATTGTTTACCGATGCTCATGACTATGTATGGACTATGTTCATTTTTCCTAGTTGATGAATTGGACAACTCAAATGACTTCCAAACTGAATTGATATTTTTCTGAGTATGCAATAGTGTCTCACTGTAACCAAATGAAACCTGATTTTGCATATTCTGTTCATTAGATGGCTTAGGAATAACATTGTGCTCACTGAACTTGATGGTGCCCAGATGTCAGCTGACGGAAGCAAACTTTTTATTCCTTATTTGAAGTTGGTGGATGTCGGTCGTTATGTATGTGTGGCCAGAAATGAAGCAGGGGAAAGGAGAGGAGAATTTGATGTCACAGTTCATGGTACAATATTCTTTCTTTCAAAGCCATACCAATTATATGACAATTCCATTTTGTGGATGCACATTTTCACTGTATTATGACTGAAATTGTTTACTCTCATCAGCAGAGTAATATTCCAAGAATTGCAGCAATATTCCGAATCCTAGAATTGCTATAAAGAGTTCCATATTGTTAAGTTTAATACCTGGTTCATAAATGTGACATAACAAGTAAACCCTAAGTTCATTGGTTGGTGATAGCTTCGAATTTGACTATCTATATTAGGTTACTTTCAGATTGAAGGTAATGGGGAAATATTTGCAGGCTACACACTGAAAGGTTAGTATGAAATTTTTAAAAGTCAAATTAAGAGCAAAGTAATTTGAGATGCTGGGCCAGGCAACCGATTATAATTGCATGATGTGAGAGCTGTTGGACTCCATTGTAGTTCATAGTAACCACACCTGTAGCAAGTGTAGCAAGTGTTGTTTGCTTGAGGAACTCCGGCTCAGAATTGATTAGTTAGACTCTAAGCTTCAAACACTGTGGCACATCAGAGTGTGTGAGAATTACCTGAAACTGTGTTTCGGGAGGGAGTGACATCCCTTAGATTAATTACCTCAAATTTGGTCAGTGGTGAGGGCAGGAGGGTGTGACTACAAGTACCGTAGGTAGAGGATTCCAGGAGATACTGCTGAAGAAGGCTCAGCCCTTGAGTTTGTCTAACAGGTTTGAGATTCTTGCTCCGTGTGTGGATGAGAGCAAGGGCTGTAGAGAAGATGAGCAAACTGACCATAGCACTGTGGTAAAGGGAGTCATTCAAGTCGAGGAAGAAAAGAGAAATGTAGTTGTAATTGGACGAAGTATGGTCAGGGGAATAGACAGTGTTCTCAGTGGCCACAATTGAGAGTCCTGAAGGCTATGTTGCCTGCCTGGGGCATGGGTTTGGGATATCTAAACTGGGCTGCAAAGGAACTTCAAGTGGGAGGGGAAAGACCCAGTTATTATGCTCCACGTAGGTTCCAATGATATCAGTAGAAAAATGGAAGAGATTCTGTTGAGGGAATATGAGCAGCTAGGGGCTAAATTATAAAGCAGAATCAAAAAATAATAATTTCTGGATTATTACCTGAGCCACAAGCAAATTGGCACAATTCAACAAGATTAAACAGGTAAACACTTGGCAAAGATTGGTGTGGGACAAACAGGTTCAAATTCATGGGACATTGGCACCAGTACTGGGGAGGGAGGGAGCTGTTCTGATGGGACAGGCTTCACCTGAATCATGCTGGAATCAGAATACTGGGGAATCGCATATCTAAGACTCTGGTTAGGGCTTTAAACTAAATAGTGGATGGGTTCAATTGCATGGAAAATTGTAGAATAAGTTAAAGGCGGGGGCAGGACTTAACAGAGATTATTTTAAAGTTTCCAGAACAAGTAATAGGATAGAAAGTGTGGAAAGGGTTAGGAATCTAATTTCAGGTACAGCAGATGAGGGGACAGCCACAAGAAATGGGGCAGCCAATGCAAGACTGAGGGTGTTGAACTTAAATGCATGCAGTATGCAAAACAAGGTAAAGGAGCTTGTGGCGCAAATTGAAATTGGTAGGTATGATATTGTGGGGAACACAGAGATGTAGCTGCAAGGGGATTAGGGCTGGGAATTAAATGTCTAAGGGTACACATCTTATCGAAAGGTAGATGGGAGGAGTGGCTGCGTTTGCCTTTTTAGTAAGAAATAAAATTAAATCAAGAGCAAGAAGAGTCGAAAGGAGTAGAATTTGTGTTGTTGATGTTGAGGAACCACAAAGAAATAAAGACCCTGATGGGACATGTGTACATGCCACCTAGCAGTGATCACGATGCGGGAAGAAAATAAATCAGGAGGTAGAAAAGGTATGTAATAAAGGCATTATTACAATAATCATGGGGGACTTCAATATACAGGTGGACTAGGAAAATTAGGTTGGTATGGATCCCAAGAAAAGGAATTTGGTAAATGTCTATGAGATAGTTTCTCACAGTAGATTGTGGTAGACCCTACTATGGAACAGACAATTCTAGAATTGGTGATGTGTAATGAGGCAAAATTGGTTAGGGATCTTCTTAAGGTGAAGGAACCCATAAGGGGGCAGTGACCTTATTATTGTAGAATTGACCATGCAGTTTGAGAGGGAGAAGCTGGCAACAGATGTAACACTATTCCAATTAGGTAAAGGTAACTACAATGAGGGGGAGGAGCTGACAAGAGTTGATTGGAAGAGGAGCCTAGGGAATTATGGTGGAGCAGCACTGGCAGGAGTTACTGGGGTACTGGCAGGAGTTACTGCGGTATTTCAGGAGGTACAGTAGAAATCCATCCCAAGAAAGAAGAAATTCACAAAGGGGAGGACGAGGCAACTATGACTGACAAGGGAAGTCAGGAACACCATAAAAGCAAATTAAAAAGCATACAATGTGGTGAAGATTAGATGACAGCGGATTGGAATGCTCCAGCCAGCGCTCATCCACGCCGCCTGTTCTTTCACTTTTTTCTTTTTTTTTCCTCGTCTTTTTCATCCTTTCTGTGGTTTTCTTCTCCTCTTCTGTCTTCTCAAATACCTAGCCCTAGCCACTGAAGTGGGGTCCCTGGTTGGCAGCGCAAAGCGGGGATGCCAGCAACCAGCGGCCCAGTGCAAAGCGGGAGGCTTTGTCCCAGTGCTGAGTGTGGTGGCAGCCAGCAGTCAGACCAGCAGGAGGCGCCTCTGCTGGTCTGCTGCAGAGAGCCCTTGGAGAGAGACTGTGATTTTTGTCTTTTTAACTTCTTGTTTCTCTGATTTATGATTAAACTATGTAAAGCTGTAATGTAACTTTGTTTTTCTTCATTTCTCTATTCTCTAACTAAGGATTGTACCTAGGTACTGTGTGCTAGGATGGCACCGTATGTTGTTGATGTTGTTACACTGTAACTAATCTTGTAATACAAGAAGCTGTGCCTTGGTGCATTTGTACCTAAGATGGCACTGTAAGTGGTGACATAAAATTGAGTGCATGTGACAATAAAGCTAATTTGATTCAGATTAGTGGGAAGCCAAAGGATTGGGAAGCCTTTAAAAACAAGGAGAGGATATTAAAATGCTGGAAATGAGGCTGGAAAAGTAGTAATGGGGAACAAAGAAATGCTGGAGAACTGCATAGGTACTTTGTATCAGTCTTCACCAGACACCAGTAGCATACCCAGAACTTCAAGAAAGTCAGGAGACAGAGGTGAGTGTAGTGACCAGCATTAAGGAGAAGATGCTGGGGAAGCTGAAAGGTCTGAAGGTGGACTAATCACCTAGACCAGATGGACCACACTCAGAGTTCTGAAGGAGATACCTGAAGAGATTGTAGAGGCATTGGCGATGATTTTTCAGGAATCACTGGAGTCAAGGAGGGTCCCAGAGGACTGGAAAATGGCTAATGTCACACCAGTGTTTAAGAAGGGAGGGAGGTAGAAGACAGGAAGCTATAGTCCAGTTAACCTGACCTCGGTCATTAGTAAGGTTTTAGAGTCCATTATTAAGGATGAGATTGTAGACTACTTGGAAGTGCACGGTAAAATAGGCTGAGTCAAACAGCTTTGTCAAGGGGAGATTCATGCCAAAGAATACTTTGAAGAGGTAACAAGCAAATTAGACAAAGAAGAGTCAGTGGATGTGATATATTTGAATTTTCAGAAGGCCTTTGACAAGCTGCTGCACAGGAAGGTGCTAAATGAGATAAGAGCCCATGGTGTTAGGGACAACGTACTGGCATGGATAGAAGATTGGCTGACTGTAGAAAGCAGAGAGTGGAGATAAAGGTATCTTTCTCAGGATGGCAGCCAGTAACTGGTGGAGTTCCACAGGGGTCCGTGTTGGAACCATAACTATTCACGTTATACCTTAACAATCTAGACAAAGGAACTGAGGACATTGTTGCTAATATTGCAGACGAATGCAAAGATAGATGGAAGGGCAGGTAGTGTTGAGGAAGCAGGCTGCAGAAGGACTTGGACAAGCTAGGATACTAGGCAAAGAAGTGGCAAATGGAATACAATGTGGAAAAGTGTGAGCTATGCACTTTGGTAGGAAGAATAGAGGCATAGACTATTTTCTAAACAGGGAAAGGCTTCAGAAATCTGATGAATAAAAGGACATGGGAGTCCTAGTTCAGGATTCTCTTAAGGTTAACATGCAGGTTCTGTTGACAGTCAGAAAGGCAAATGCAATGTTGGCATTCATTTCAAGAGGGCTAGAATACAAGAGCAGAAATATACAGCTGAAGCAGTATAAGATTAGAACGCATTTAAAATATTGTGAGCCGTTTTAGGTCCCGTATATAAGGAAGAATGTGGAGGGGGCCCAGAGGAAATTACAAGGATGATCCCAGGAATGAAGGGCTTGTCAAATGAGGAGTGGTTCAGGATTCTGGGTCTGTGCTCACTGGAGTTTAGCAGGGTTGAGGGGGTATCTGCTTGAAATTACAGAATACTGAGAAGGCTGGATAGAATGGACATGGAGAAGATATTTCACTAGTCAGAAGAACTAGGATCTGAGGGCAGAGTGAAGGGACAACCCTTTAGAACTGAGATAAGGAGGAATTTCTTTTGCCAGAGGATATTTAATCTGTGGAACTCATTGCTGTAGAAGGCTGTGGAGGCCAAGTCATTGAGAGTATTTAAGAAAGAATTAGATAGGTTTTTGATAGGGAAGGAGATCAAGAGTTACTGGAAAAAGGCACGAGAATGGGGTTGAGAAACATATCAGCCATGTTGGAATGGTGAGGTAGACTTGATGGGCTGAATGGTCTAATTCTGCTCCTAAGTCTTATGATCTTATACTTGTTCACAAGACATTTGAACTGAAAATTGTAAAGAGGCAAAAGCATAAAACCCTTCAAGCCCATCTAGATCAAAAACTACAAGCGTAGGGGAGTCCAAAACTAGAGGACATAGATTTAAGTGACAGGGGAAAGATTCAAAAGGGGCATGAGGGGCAACCTTTTCATGCAGAGGGTGGTGCACGTATGGAACAAGCTGCCAGAGGAAGTGGTGGAGGTGGGTACAATTATGACATTTAAAAGGCACCTGGCTGCATTTTTAAATAGGAAGGGTTTAGAGGGATGTGGGCCAAATTCTGGCACATGGGACTGGATCAGTTTAGTATATCTGGTCGAAATGGATAAATTGGACTGAAGGATCTGTTTCCATGCTGTATTACTCTTATGACCCTGTCCCACTGATCTTACTAAATGGTAGAGCAGGCACAAGAAGTCAAATGGCCTACCCCAGTTCCTGATTCATATGCTCTTATGTTCCCAAGTAAACCACTTTAACTTAAATCAATTACTTTGGAGGCCACTATAATACTTCAGCAGCTAGCTTTTTTCTTGTAATCTCTTTGCTTTTCATCTTAACTTTTTAAATTCCTTCCTTTATTTTCCATAATCTTGCTGGTTATCAACCAAATCTTGTCTTTAACATTTGTCATAAGCCTCCTAATCTGTTTAATTTAACGTTTATTTTCTTTGGCATCCAGGCTGTGCTAGCTTTCAATCAGCTATTTTTTCCATTCGAAGGAATATGTTTTGTTTTTACCTGGACCATCTCTGAATCCCCTCCATGGTTCTGTTACTATTTTAATCTCCAGTCATCTTATTCAATAGCCCAGTGCTAGATCTTTCTTAAACGGCTGAATTATTAACTGTATTTTATTTTTGTTCATTGTGATTAGTCCCCCCAGCAGTGACAATTGGAGGAGTTGAGAATTTGGTCATCGTTGTTGGGAAATCTGCAATATTGGAATGCACTGCTACTGGAATTCCAACACCATTGATCACATGGTTGAAGGATAGTCAGCGACTGATTGAAACAAGTGGGAGACTTAAGGTAACTAAAGACATTGGTGTTCATTTTCATTGAATCTTACAGCACAGTAGAAGTCCATTTAATCCATCATATCTATGCCAGCCCTCTGAAAAAAAACTGCCAATTAGTTCTGCTTTCCAATTCTTTCCAGAGCCCCACAACTACTTCCCTTTTTAAAACTGTCAAAACTCCAGATCATCTAACAATATATTTCTGTTTGCCTGATGTGTCTATTATACATTTATCAACTTTCCTCAGATCACGTGCCTCTGTTTACCTCAGTGCAATGGGGTGAGGTACATTGCTTTGACCTCATCAGGACCATTCAAAAAGGCATCCAAATGTTCATCTCTTTCAGTTCTTTAAAGACACTGGCCTATTTAACGTTAATTAAATGTTCAGGAGCTGAACAAGCTTAGAGAAAGAGTGCTATACCTGAAGACAGAAACCTGGGATCACAAGAAATCAGTCTACGGGCCTCATCATAATAATTACAGCCAACTGTTATGGCTGTCATGGGACCATGTTAGAATAACAGGTTTGCTGGAAGTAACCATTAGTTAGGTCTTGGGTGACATTGAGAGATAAAAGGAGAGGGTGAGTCTGAACCGATAGATGGATTCCTGATTCCATGTGAAGAAAATATTGAAAACCCGCTGATTAAGAAAACCGGAATGCAGGGAGTCCAACTTGATTACTTAGTCCATTCAATCTGTGAACACTCCTGATCTCAATCACCTCAACAACACCATTTCTTCCTTTGCTGAAATTGCCTGGAAGAATGGTTTCTCTTTCCTTTGTGTCATCAACATTTTAAATTGCAGAATATCTTCATTGTTTTATGAAGCTCAAGACTTGAGCACTACTGCCAAATCTGAAGAATCTCTTCTTACAGTGCTTTCACAAGTTTACGTAAAATGCAGGGTTATGCTTATCTTTTATCGTGATCTTGGACTTACAGACTCATTCACAACCTTCCTTGTCTTTACCAAGAAGGACTATAGTTTCACTTCAATGAATTTTCCTTTCTTGCAAACTCCTATAAGCTATGCCGTAGACCCATCCTCCTTAAAATCATCAAATTGAGATTTATCGTACCATAGCTGTCCTGATTTAATTCTTTTATGACCTTAAAATTGTAGAATTTTAATTTTTCCCTCAGTTTTTCAATAACCTGAAACCTTCAGGCTTTTAAAACTGAAGCTTGCCATCTCTTAGTCCCTATATCTTTCTACACCCTATTTCCTCTTGCATTCATCAGCTTTGGTTACTTTTTGAACATCAAAGGCATTATCCCTCCCTGTCCTTTCTCAATTATTTTGAAAAGAACTAGCCATTCGCGTAATCCCTAAATAGGGTCATCAACTGTCCAGGATTTCCTTAGAAGCTCCTGTGATCGAAGGTTAATCTCCAGGAGATTGCTACAAGTAATCCAGGAGAAAATGCCAATGGGCATTAGAACAATTTTTTCCTATTTTCCTTTAATGCTTTTTGTTTATTAGTCATAAAAAATTTTGACATTGCTATTGGAATGACAGTACAGATTCATCCAATTGAGTAGTAAAGGAATTTCAGACCTTCCAGATATCTCTGGGAAGGTGGGCTGAGAATGGTCCTATCAGGTGAGGAATGGTAGACAGATGTGGGACAGGGTATAGGGCAGTTGGAGGTAGGAATTCATATTTAAAAAAACCATGTGGAATACATCCAACCAGAAATGACAACATGATCTCTCCATGCATGAACTTAGCTAAGCCATTTCTGACTGAATAAATTGCGAGATCTGTCTGGTTGGTATTGACCCATTTCTACACTTGGTAACTGTGTACATTAGGATAGTGTCTTAAATTATTGCCCCCTTAATAGTGAACCAATAGATGCTCCAAAGATAAGAGAAATCAGCTAACGGTCAACGGAGCTTATATTTAAGGCCTGCTTTTCCCAGAATGGGAGGTTGGCCAGGAATGGAAAAGAACAATTTGGAATTTGAATTGAGCTTTGAGTTGCAAAGTGATACAGAGTGACTTTTTTTATTCTCTTGTGGGAACTGGATCTCACCGGCTGGCCAGTATTTATTTATCTTGCTGAGTTACCCTTGATAAGGCAGTAGTGAACTGCCTTCTTGAACCATGGTAAGCCATGCACTGTAGATAGATTAACAATGCCATTAAGGAGAGAATTCCAGGATTTAGCCCCAATGACAATAAATAAACAGTGATATATTTCTAAGTCAGGACAATGAGTGGCTTGGATGGGAACTTGCAGGTGGTGATATTCCCATGAATCTGCTGCCCTTGTCCTTCTAGATGAAAGTGGTCATAAGTTTGGAAAGTGCTGTCTTAGAGTCTTGGCAAATTTCTGCAGGACATCTGAGCTTTAGTGGTGGAGGGCATGTATGCTTGTAATTGTGGTGCCAAAAAGCAGACTGCTTTGTTGTGGATGGTGTTAAGCTTCTTGAGTGTTGTTGGATTGCACTCATCTAGACAAATGGACTGTATTTCATTAGACTCCTGACTTGTGTCTTGTAGATGGTGGTCAGGGAGTGGGGAGTCAGGAGGTCAGTTATTCGTCACAGTATTTCTAGCCTGTAACCTATACTTGTAGCCATTGTATTTATGTGGCAAGTACAATTGAGTTTCTGGTCACTGGTAATCCCCAGGATGTTGATTGTGGGGGATTAGTGATGGTAACACCATTGAATCTCAAGGGGTGGTGGTTAGATTTTCTCTTGTTGGAGATAGTCATTGCATGGCATTTATATGGTGCAAATCTAACTTGCCATTTGTCAGCCCAAGCCTGGATATAGTCCAGGTCTTGTTTCATTTGAACACGGACTGTTTCACTATCTCTTGAGTCACGAATGGTGCTGAACATTGTGCAATCATCAACAAATATCCCCACTTCTGACTTAATGATGGAGGGAAAGTCATTGATGAAGCAGCTGAAGGTGGTAGGGCCTAGGGCACTATCCTGAGGAATTCCCGCAGAGATGTCCTGGAGCTGAGATGACTGATCTCCAACGACCACAATCATCTTCCCATGCGCTAGGTATAACTCCAACCAGTGGAGAGTTTGTCCCTTGATCACCTTTTATTCCAATTTTTCTCAGGCTCTTTGATGCCATACTCAGTCATACCTGGGCAATTTTCCATATTGTCGGCTAGATGCCGGTGTTGTACTGAAACAGCTTGGCTAGGGGTGCAGCAAGTTCTGGAGCACAAATCTTCAGTAATATTACCAGAATATTGTCAGGGCTCATAGCCTTCAGTATCCAGCTGTTTCTTCAAGTCACATGAATTAATCAAATTGGCTGACGACTGGCATCTGTGATGCTGGAGATCACTGGATGAGATCACATGGATTGTCCACTTGGCACTTCTGGATGATGATTGTTCCAAATGCTTCAGCTTTAGCTTTTGTACTAAGGTGCTGGTTCTGCCATCATTGAAGATGGGGATTTTTTTAGAGCCTCCTCCTCGTCCAGAGAGTTATTTAATTGTTCACCATCATTCACGACTGGATGTGGAAGGGCTGCAGATCATAGATCTGATCCATTCTATGTGGGTTTGTGTAGCTCCTTCTATCACTTGCTGCTTATGCTGATTGGCGTGCAATTTGTTTTGTTTGGTAGCTTCACCAAGTTGACACCTTATTTTTGGGTATGCCTTGTGCTGCTCCTGGCATGCACTTGTGCACTCTCTGTTGAACCAAGAATAATCCCCTGGCTTAATGGCAATGGTTGAGTTGCGTACATGCTGGGCCATGATGTTGCAGATTGTGTTGGACTTCTGCTTCCTGCTTTGGTAAATGATTTATAATAGAGTAAAATCTTGCTTTAAGCTGTCCTGCTAACCGTCATTTAATTTTAATCTATAATTTTAATGGCCTTTATTTTGAATTATGTCGGAATTTCTGCTTTAAAATTGTCTCTTCTCTCCTGGCAATTGGGCTAGTCTCCCTCCATTGCTATCCCCTCCTGGCCTTATCTCCTGGCATTCATGCAACTACCCAGCTTTGCCTATCAGATTTACCTCCCCCTGCCTTTGATTCCTTGCCACTGCATTGTCTCCTTTGTCCCTTGTCTTGGCCTTGCCTCTTACTCTCTCTTTTTACATTAGGTCACTCATTTCACAATTGGAGACAATACCATTTGCTAATGCCATTCTGAATCTGTACTGAAGGGCTCCAAATGGTGGCAGGAGTTGAACAATATAGATAGCACTGATTAACTTCTGCTCGGAGATGAAGCCTGGTCAATTTACGGATACATATGAGTGTATTTTTAAAAAAATATTGTATAGGTTTTTAAGTATATTTAATGATCTATTTTGTTTTGAAATTACTTCAGCTGGGAATGCATAGTTGATCACACAGTACTTGATGGCACAGTATTTCAGTTTGCAGATTAGTCAAAAATGTCTGAAGGAACCTAACTCTGGCATTAATATTGACCTCTATGGAAACCTATGATTCACTTAAAATCATTTCACTTAAAGTTGTCATTTTCAGGACCACAATCATAACTTTACATGAGGACTTAACTGTAAATCATTAAACAGATCTTACTGAATGGAGTAAAGTCACCAGTTAACATGGGATTCAGAAAAGCCATCATCCCAGAGGGTGTGAACAGAGTTCATGTTCATTTAATGCTCTGCATGAAATTTATCATTCAGTTTCTGCAATTGACAATTCCACAATATATTCATCCAATCCCATTCTTGGCCCAGGAACAGGTCAGTATATTTAATAGTGGTCTTCAAGAGATATTTGGAAAATTACCGAGAGATATGGTGGGGGGCTGTGGAGATAAGGAAGGGGAGTAGGATTAGCTGAGTTACTACTGAGCTAGCATGGACATGAATGGCTGAATTGCATCCTCCGATGCTATAACTATTCTGTGATTATATTAACACATTATTTGAAAAATCAGTCTTTAATTTTTTGCTTCTTAAATAGGGACCTTGAACTTCAAGGAGGTGACTAATTCACTAATATGTTTACTCAATTATTTCCACAGTAATGCCAACAAACTAAAGCCTGACCTAATTTTGCCTGTATGTTTAATTTTAATGTGTAACTGATTAAGAAAACATCTAGGAAGACAAGCACCCTCTTCTGATTATCAGGAGACATTTTACATTTGACAAAGATTAGAGAACCTTAGAAGAAATGGGAAACTAAGAAGAGATTGCAGAAAAGAAATGAAAAGGACAGCAAGTAAAACACTTAGTGTGAATGACAGGCAGTCACATCTGAAGCTGCATGGTTAAACAGTTCACTTTCAGACTGTCTTTGATTTTATTTTTCCCCTACTACTCATCTTTTACTTGGCTTAACAGATTGAGAAAGTGACTCAACAAGATGGGGGTATCTACTCCTGTGTAGCAACAAATGGGGCAGGTGAATCCCAGCAAGACGTCGTAGTGACTGTATATGGTAAGTGTTATTGCCCAAAATGTGGAGGATAGAATTTAAAGCATATACAATATAGACAATCACAGGTAAATATAGACCATCCCTGTGATTTAGCTTTCTGTCAATGAATGCCATCCCTGAGATTGAATTCCCAAAGATTTGCTCCCTTCCTTTGACACTTAATCCAATTAATCAACCCTCTTCCAATGTGTGGAATTCTAATAGACCAATCCCTCACTTTCTCTCTTCTTCCCTCCGTTTTAATATCACCACATTACCACAATCGTGAATACAATGACCCATTCCACATGAAAGTCAAGGTTGTTTTCATTTGTTCTTGGCAAGGCCAGCATTTATTTGCAGTACTATTTGCCCTTGAAACCATTGTGGTGAGCCACCATCTGGAACTGTTGCAGTGCTGTTAGGAAGAGAAATTTATTTTTCTGTAGGCGTTGATACAAGTAAGGACTTGCTCACCCTTTTCAAAGGACAGTTAAGAGCCGATCATGAAGGTTTTCTCCCCTGAGGAAGGTTCAGCCATGCTTCCCCGCTTTTGTACTTAATGTCTTTTTATGTAGCCCAAGATTCTGTACATTTTCCTAACCATTCTTCCTTCAATGCACATGAACCTTAGCTTTCACTATCCCTGCACACATTTTAGAACTGTGCCGTTCATTTTATATTGCCTTTCCCAATCCATTCAGTTGAATGCACCCTCTCGTTCTCTCAATTAAACTCCATCTGTCATTTGTTTGACAATTCTGCAGTCATATCCTGTTTCGGTAATAACACTGCATTAACTGATTTAAAGTCTTCATTGTGAGTTAATGAATATGGCTGCTGTGTGTATATCTTACAACATGCATAAGTCAAGCCACCACAGCCCTATCAGACCATAGGGCTGCCCTGTCATTAGGGAGAGACAAATGGTAGTGGTTTAACCTGAGGGTCACCACGCCTCAGGTGAGGAGGGAAGCTGAGGAGAGTCCTTCATTGTGATCTCAGCTGGTGCGGAAATTGAAAACAGCACTGTTGGTGTTGCTTTGCATTGCAAACCGACTGTCCAGCTAACTGAGCTAACTGACCCCTTGAAAACATGGATGTACACTACATGTAAGTGGAGTTTACAACATGTTGTTATTTTAAGTTGTATAACTATATTCAATTTGGTTTATGGATTTCAGAGCCTCCTGTTATGGATAAGTCTGTGGATACAAACAAAACTGCAGTAGTGAATCTCCCAGCATCTTTTGAGTGCCTTGCCTCTGGAACTCCACCCCCAGGTAAGTGTCATCCATAAAATTAACTCTGATTGGACAAACCACATTATCCTGGTATGTTGTTGCCTTGTCACAGATAAATGCCATCGTAACTTCAGTACTTAGATTTTGTAAAAAATTGCAAGATCTCTGTAAGAAATTCAGTCCATTTCTTTTCTTGTCATCGTAATTTCTAATTATGAAATAAACCCTAGTTTTATAGTGAAATTATCTACTGCCAACATTCTGGCAACAGTACTGATGACTTGTGCTCCAGAACTTGCCGCTCCCCTAACCAAGCTGTTCCAATACAGTTACACCACTGGTATCTACCCGGCAATGTGAAAAATTACCCAAGTATGTTGTGTACACAAAAAGAAGGACAAATCCAACGTGGCCAATTACTGCCCCATCAGTCTACTCTCAATCATCAGTAAAGTGATGTAAGGTATCATCAACAGTGCTATCAAGCAGCGTCTGCTCAGCAATAACCTGCTCAATGATGCCCAGTTTGGGTTCTGCTAAGGCCACTCAGCTACTGACCTCATTACAGCCTTGGTTTAAACATGGACAAAAGAGCTGAATTCCAGAGGTGAAATGAGAATGACAGCCATTGACATCAAGGCTGCATTCAACTGAGTGTGGCATCAAGGAGCCCTAGCAAAACTGGAATCAATGGGTATCAGGGGGCAAACTCACCAGTGGTTGGAGTCATACCTGACACACAGGAAGCTGGTCATGGTTGTTGGAGGTCAGTCATCTTAGCTTCAGGATATCTCTGCAGGAGTTCCTCAGGGTAGTGTCCTCGGCTCAACCATCTTCAGGTGCTTCATCAATGACCTTCTCTCCATCAGAAGTGGGGATGTTCGCTGATGATTGCACAACGTTCAGCACCATTCGTGACTCATCAAATACTGAAGCAGTCTGTGTTCAAATGCAACAAGATCTGGACAATATCCAGGCTTGGGCTGACAAGTGGCAAGTGACATTCACACCACTCAAATGCCAGGCTATGATCATCACCAATAAGAGGAAATCTAACCACTACCCCTTGACATTCAATGGTCTTACCATCACTAAAACCCCCAATATAAATATCCAGGAGATTATCATTGACCAGAAACTCAACTGAACTCACCACATAAACACAGTGGCTACATGAGTAGGTCAGAAGCTAGGATGACTGTGGCGAGTAACTCACCACTGATTCCTCAAAGCCTGTCCACCACCTACAAGCCACAAGTCAGGAGTGTGGTGGAATACTCTTCACTTGCCTGGATGAGTGCAGCCCCAACAACACTCAAGAAGCTTGACACCATCCAGCACAAAGCAGCCCGCTTGATTAGCATGACATCCACAAGCACCCACTCCCTCCACCACCGACGCTCAGTAGCAGCAGTGTGTACTATCTACAAGATGAACTGCAGAAATTTACCAAAGATTCACAGACAGCACTTTTCAAACCCTTGACCATTTCCATCTAGAAGGACAAGGACAGCAGACATATGTGAACACCACCACGCCCAAGTTCCCCTCCAAGTCACTCACCATCCTGACTTGGAAATATACAGCCATTACTTCACTGTTGCTGGGTCAAAATCTAGAATTGCCTCCCAAATGGCATTGTGGATCAACCCACAGCAGGTGGACTGCAGCAGTTCAAGAAGGCAGCTCACCACCATCTTCTGAGGGGCAACTAGGGATAGGCAAGAAATGCTGGCCAGCCAGCGATGTCCAGTTCCCACAAATGAATAGAAGAAAAAGTTCTATTTGATTTTCAGTAAAGCGCTGCTTCTTTGTCCATGTAGCAGGGTTTTCGCTTTGAAATAATGAAAGTCTAAATTGGATTCCCATAATGTTTTTTAAGTAATCAAATGTTTGTGGGTCTTTGGCAGGATGATCTTTTCTGTCACTAACCAGTCTTTGTCACTGTCATCTAGTATTGACTTGGTTCAAGGGGCAGCAGCTGATCACGCATTTGACTGGTAGCAGTGTGTTGGAGAATGGAAGAACTTTGAGAATACAGAATGCCCAGGTATCTGATGGTGGGCAGTATCGCTGTGTGGCAACCAATGTGGCTGGCAGCACGGAACTACAATATACCTTAAAAGTTTACGGTGAGCTGGATCCAATATATTGCACTATTTAATAATGGGCCATAAGAATGCAAGATGTAACGAGGTAAAAGCACTTGGGATCCAGGGTAAATCGGCAAGTTGGATCCACAGTAGGCATCATAGTGGGTGGTGGTAAAAGGCTGTTGTGTGACTGGAGGCTGGTATATTGTGGTGTACCATAATGCAGGATCTCTTATTGTTTGTGAATGTGGGGCATAGTGATTGGAACGAGGTCAGCCACGTGGACTTTGTAGAGTCTGAGTTCCCTGACTGGGACTATTAACCTGATCAAGTCAGGAAGTCCTGGCTGAAAGATATTCAGGAGTGTCAAGGGTTCTCTTCACTCTAGGACCCGGCAGTGAGCTGGCTGATCAGTGTCAAGTACTATGCATGTGTAAATAAAGGGTGATTTGGTGATGGGATTCTGGCTTTCGTGGAGTTATTTTAGTGGCTACAAGAGGTAAACATGCCCCTGAAGAGATTCGCTCACAACAATTGTCTTTGAGTTGGGGTAAGCATTTCTAGTATCATGCCACTATTTGGGAAGCTTGACTGGTACCATACTGCCATCGAAGACTGGGCCCAGAATGTGGAAATAATGCATTATTTCTTCTGAGCAAATAATTCGGGGCAGACAAAAAGCAACGAGTAATTCTCCTGACAGCTTGTGCACCCACGGTCTTTTCTGTTATTAGGAGCCTAAGTTTCCCTGAGGCACCAGATGCTAAAACCTTCAAGACTTGATGGATTTACTTAAGGAATATTATGATGCCAAGCCTTCTTTAATTCTGAAAGGCCATCGGTTTTACTCGGCAATTTGAGAACCAGGGGAATCTGTATAGGGACTTTTGGCAACGTTAAGACAACTGGCAGAGGCATGTGATTTTGGTATAACACTAAGTGAGATGCTGAGAGATTAGTATGTGGGATTAATGATGTGACCATGCAAAAGCGCCTACTAGCTGAAGCCCAACTGGACTTCAAGCAGGTACTACAAGTGGCTTTGTCATTTGAAAATGTGGCAAGTGGAGCTTATGAGTTATAGGGTATTCCAATGAAAGTGGACACCCTTGCCAGGCTGACTGAGCTTGGAGAACATCACTTGAGTGAACACAATTGCTAGCCTCACTCAGTACATATCCTGAACAGAGGGACTGTAGGTCAGCCCACATCAATACCTCAAAACATAGCCAAGCCTTGGCCAAACAGCTAAAATTTTCTCAAGGATCTGGGCTGGCAGCCTAGTCTAATTGCTGCCGGTATGCGGACTCGAGACAGCAAAAGCATCACACAGGGCCTAAATTTAGTAATAGAACTTATACATCCATATCTAGGAGCGTGCACACTCTGGAAAGTCCAGCTACAACTGGTTTGAAACAGCTAAATTGCTTAGCAGCGTCCAAATCAGAACCGATCAAAATAAACTTTTAGTTGAATTGTCATGAGGCAGAGTCGGAGGAACTGGAACTGGTACGAAAGTGCCCAGGAGAAGCTACAGGAAACAGAATGGAACTATGTCCCAGGACTTAGAGGGGGAGGGATATAGTGATTGGAATGAGCTCAGCCAGGTGAACCTCATAGAATAGGAGTTCCCTGAGTGGGCCTGTTAACCTGGTCCAATCAGTGAGTCCTGGCTGACAGATATAAATGGGAGTGTCAGGGTTCTGCTCACTCTCTGAGCCAGGTGGTCAGTGTCAAGTACTGTGCACGTGTAAATAAAGGGTGACGTGGTGACAGGATACCAGCCTTCGTGGAGTTATTTCAGGGAACATGATAAGTAATTTTGTGGATGACATAAAGATTGGCTCAGTGGTTCATAGAATCCCTACAATGTACAAGCAGGCCTTTTGGTCCATCAAGTCCACACCAAACCTCTGAAGAGTATCCCACCCAGACCTACCTCCCTACCTATCCCCACAGCCCTACATTTCCTATGGGTAATCTACCTATCCTGCATATCTTTGGACTGTGGGACAAAACCAGAACACCTGGAGGAAACCCATGCAGGCACAGGGAGAATGCACAAACTCCATACAGATAGTTGACCAAGGGTGGAATTGAACCTGGGTCCCTGGTGCTGTGAGGCAGCAGTGCTAACCAATGTGCCACCGTGCCACCCCAGTGACAGTGAGAAAAAAGGTCTTAGATTACAGGAGGATATGGAAAAATTGTTCAAGTGGGAAAATGAGTTGCAGATGGAATTTAACCCTGAAAAGTGTAAGGTGATGCAGTTTGGAAGAAGTAACAAGAATAAGGGAGTACTCAATGAATGGCACGACACTAAGAAGCTCAGAGAAACAGAGAAATCTTGAGGTGCTTGTCTACAATATTTGTATTTTGATGTATTTGATTAAGTCTTGAAATAAACTCGAGTAATTTATTGACCTAAATGGGTGGTAGTTGCTGAGAAAGCAGGTTCATGAAGATGTTCATTGACAGCACAATTCTCGACCAGTAGGGTATTCTGGTGTGGGTGAAGTGCGATTTCAAGCTGGTTACATCCTGAATTATTAGGCCAAGAGCTGAGGTAATAACCAGCTGTTTTAATTGGATCCCTATCCCTCAATCTATATGGAATTTGTTACTGAAGGAAGCAGGACAGGTTAATAGGGTAATTAAGAAGGCATATGAGAATTTGCCTTTATCAGTTGTGGCATAGATTATAAAAGCAGGGACATTATTTTAGAGCTGTACAAAACTTTATCTAGACCACAGCTGGAATACTGGGTGCAGTTTTGGTCACCACACTATAGGAAGGATGTGATTACACTGGATGGCTGCAGAGAAGATTCATGAAGGTATTGCCTGGGATGGAGTATTTTTACTATGAGGAGAGGCTGGATAGGCTTTTCTTCAGAACAGTAAAGGCCGGGAGGGATATTGATTGAAGAGTATAAGATTGTGGGGAATGTGGATAGAGTGGATAGAAAGCAGCTGTTCCTCTTAGTTGAACAACAAGGGGACATAGTTTGAAGCAAAAGGCAGAAGGTTTAGAGAGGATTTGAGAAAAGGAATTTCACCCAGAGATGGTGGGAATCTTGAGTGTACTTCCTGGGAGGGGAGTTGAACTGGGGAATGTAACAACTTTTAAAAAGTACTTGTATGAGCATTCGAGGATGTGGGCCAAGTTCTGGAAAGTGGGACTAGTGTAGATTTAGAATCGTTTTGTTGGAGCAGACTTGATGGGCCAAAGAGCCTTTTTTGTACTGTGTGAGTCTATGACCACTGGGTGTCAGGGGTTAGCTTAAAACCTCTGATCCTCTGTGCAGTAAGATTAGTAATTGCTTTGTTGAAACATCACCAGGAGAAAAAAGTGCCCATTGTGATAATGATCCAAATGAAATAAATAATCATTATTGATAACATAATTATGGACCTTAAAAGGTATAAGATAATAAAAGGATTGCACAATTGTGAACATTTCAGTAACAACTAAGTGCAATGAAAGACTTATTGTCCTCTCCATTTTGAATAAAAGTTCATTGATCATATGTTATTAGGTTGAATCTACTAAATTTCCAAACATTTTCCTACTATTTATGAATTTTATAAAGTAGCTATTGGGCTGCACTGTACTGTATTCATACTATAACTTATTTGATCTTAGCTACATTGTTATTGGAAAAGTACTGAGGAGAGACAGTGCTTTTTCCCATTGTGGAGAAGTGAAGTCCAAAGAATTTTGCCTTTTAGATTACACTGGTGCGCTATTAGCAAAGTCACTGTACCCACTTCTGAAAGCATCAAGAATGAGAAGACACTGTTTTAAAAAAGTAATATAAGAAGTAGAACTAATATGAGGAAAAGCTTTCCCATGCGGGGAATAGTTAGGATTTGCAATACACTGCTTGTGAATTTTTTGAAAACCAGGCTTTCTGAAGGAACTTAGACTGATAACTGAAAAGGAGGAATGCGCATAATTACAGAGAGAAGGCAGTAGATGAGTTGTTTATTCAAAGAATTAATGGAGACACAATGGGCTAGATGGCCGTCTCTGTACCGGAAAAATCCTGTGATTCAATGTCTTTTAGAGCCACACTGGCTGAAAACAGGGGAGCAGGTCTCTGGCCTGATTGGCTGGAATAATCCATATTTTGGAAACAGCCACCTGGAGAAGCAGAGCAAAAGATTCAGTTCAACAAAAAAGGCAATCTAACACTTGCAACGTGTTTCAACTTAGTTGGTTCCAGCACCAGGATGGAAAGAGATTCGCATTTACTCTGCCCACCACTAGCATTAGGATAAGTGTGATACCTAACACCGATGCTCATGCCCTGTTCCCATTCTTGAGCATATATCCTGCATTTTCTAGCACCTTTGAATTCTAGATGCTAGCTTCTAACAGTAAACACCTGTTCTGATGTGGGGTTAAAAACTGTCCTGCATATTTCTAGTACTCTGACTAATCTGAAGCTTTCATTTGTAGTTCCACCGGTGATCTCAACTGCTCTGGACCTGGTTACTGTTCTTATAAACCAGCCCGTAGAACTTCAGTGTGAAGCAACAGGAGACCCTCCCCCCAAAATAACATGGCTAAAAGACCAAACCCCGATCACCATGATGACTGAAGGGTTAAAGGTCAGTGAAATTTGTTTTCATAGACTTAAGTTTTCCTGGTAGATCGTTTTGAGCTAGTTGGAATAGATTAATGCCTACAATAAAGTATTAGACACACAGGTTTCAAAAATCTTCTGTGTCTCACTCCAAAAGCAAGAGGTTACCTATGAAGTGGAAACTGCTACTGTTCCTCACAAGATTGAACTTATGTTTCTGGAACATTTGTCCGAGTGTCTGGATTAACCAATATGCTACTGTCTCCCTTGACTGAGGTTTTCTCTTAAATCTTTTGTTTTCTGTCCACTTAGTTCCTGTTGGAAGGTCAGATTCTGTCCTTAGCCAATGCACACTTCTCTGATTCAGGAATGTACTCCTGTGTAGCTCTTAATCCTGCTGGAGAGGACCAGAAGGAAATTCATCTGCAAGTTTATCGTAAGTATTTGATTAAGTCTTGAAACAACCTCAAGGTTATTGAGGCTAATTTGTGGAACTTGCTGAGAAAACAGATTCATCCAGATGTTCATTGGCGGCACAATTCTTGACAAGTAGCGTATTCTGGTGTGGAAGTATGTGGTGTTGATGAAGTGCAATTTCATCCTGAATTATTAGGCTAAGAGCTGAGATAATACCTAGCTGTCTTAACTGGATCCCTATCCCTCAATCGGTATAGAATTTGTTGCTGTAGCCATTAATAGGTTACACCAATGATAATCGTGCAATAGATCAGGCCGGAAGTATAGTGTGAGTGATCCATTCAAGCTTTTCTGGTGGTCCCCCAACATCAGAGACATCAGTCTTGGACCAATTCAGTTCACTCCACGTTATATCAGGACAGGCTGAAGGCACTGGATACTGCAAAAGTAATGGACTTTGACAACATTCAGCCAATAGTACTGAATGTATGCTCCGAAACCTGCTGCTTCCCCTAGCCAAGTTGTTCCAGTACAGCTAAAACAGTGTCATCTACCCGACAATGTGGAAAATTGCCCAGGCACCTCCTGTGCAGTAAAGGCAGAACTAATCCAACCTGGTAATTGTGACAGAAACGGTCATCAAAATTGCCATCAAACAGCACTTGTTTAGCAATAACCTGCACGTTGTACTCAAGTTTCATCAGGCTACTTAGCTACTGACTTCAGTGTAACTTTTGGTCAAACGTGAAAAGTGGCTGAAGCCTAGAGGTGAGGTTGAGTTCTTGAGTTTATTTAAAAAGAAATAGATAGGTTCTCGATTAGTAAGGGGCTCAAATTCTATGGGGAGAAGGCAGGAGAGTTGGAGAAACATATCAGCCTTGATCAAATGGTGGAGAGGACTCAATAGGCTGAAAACCCATATTCTGCTCCTATATCTTACGGTTTTGTGGAGAGTGACTGGCCTTGATAGGGCTACATTTGACTGAGTGTGGCATCAAGGAGTCCTAGCAAAGTAAGACTCAATGGAAATCTGGGGGAAAGCTCTCCACCAGTTGTATTCATACCTGCCGCAAGGGCTGTTGTTGTTGGAGGTCAGTCATGTCATCTCCAGGACACCTATGCAGAAGTTGCTCAGGATAGTGTCCTAGGCCCAACCATCTTCAACTGCATCAGCAATGACCTTTCCTTCATCGTAAGATTAGAAGTCGGGGATGTTCGCTGATGATTGCACAATGTTCACCACCATTTCTGACTCCTCAAATACTGAAATAGGCCATGTACAAATGCCGCAATATTTTGACAATGTTCAGGCTAGGGTTGATAAATGGCCACATAAGTTCCAGGTTTAATATTAACACACAGGGAGACAATGGCCTAGTGGTATTATCATGAGACTATTAATTGTAAAGGTAATGCAATCCGGGCAATGCCCTGGGGACTCTGGTTCAAATACCTCCATGGCAGGTAGTGGAATTTGAATTCAGGAAAATTTGGAATTAAAAGTCTGATGATGACCTTGAAAGCGTTGTTGATTGTTGGGAAGAAACCAACTGACTCGCTAATACCCTTCAGGGCAAGAAATCTGCCTACATGTGAGTCCAGACACACAGCAATGTGGTTGACTCTCAACTGCCCTCTGGGCAATTAGGGATAGGCAATAAATGCTGGCCTGGCCAGTGACACCCACATCCTGTGAATGAATTAAACTAAAGGACAAAGACCATCTCCAACCAGACAGAATCTAACCATTGCCCCTCAACATCAGTTGTGTTACCATCACAGAATCTACATTCTAACGTTACAAGAAACTGAAAAGGACTAGCCTTTCAACCCTCCAACCCATCGATCACAGCTTCTCTGACAGTTGATCTCAGTCTCTGCCCTTTATACACCAACTAAGTTTCCTCCAAGCTGTGTGCTCACATCAACAATCATGTTGTGCATGATGTCTGCTTCTGTAACCTGCTGCTGCATATGGAGCTCAGAAGTCCACAGACGACGACGAAAAATTATGGGAAATGCTGTTATGCCTAATGTCTGAGTGAAGAAGCAGACTCGAGACTCTGGAAACAAATCATGATCAAAGAAGTGACATCGCATGCGCCCACACATGAAAGCAGCCAGCAATGTTTTTGATTTTCCAGAGACACGGATTCAGAGTTTGACCTGCAGTGTGATCAGCAGCAAAGTGATATCATGAATCAGAAGGTGAAATGAGTGCAAGCAGAATGTGGCTTCCAGACCCAATCATGATTGGTTGCAAATGCAGAATTTATGCTTGTGTTCAATCAATTTTAAAACTTACTTGAAGAAAATCTGTACACTTGGTTGTTCATTATATGTAGTGCACATCTGGAACCCAAGGTGAGTTCTCAATTGTAGGCCAGTAAGCTAATGCTACGCTTGATTTTTAACTTGGCTAAAAATACATCTTTAGCTAATGATTAATCTCCTTTATTCTTTATTCATTCATGGGATGAGGGCGTCGCTGGCTAGGCAGCATTTATTGCCCATCCCTAAATGCCCAGAGGGCAGTTAAGAGTCAACCACATTGCTGTGGGTCTGGAGTCACATGTAGCCAGACCAGGTAAGGATAGTAGTTTCCTCCCCTTAAGGACATTAGTGAACCAGATGGGTTTTTCCAACAATCGATTCATGGTCATCATTAGATTCTTAATTCCAGATATTTATCAAATTCAAATTCCACCATCTGCCATGGTGGAAATAGAACCCGGATCCCCAGAACAATATCTAGGTCTCTGGATTAACAGTCCAGCGATAATACCACTAGGCCATCGCCTCCCCGTGAATGAATGATGAACCTGACTATCTAAAAAGAAACTGAAGATGTACAACTTATGTACAGAATAGGAAAATGAATTTCTGTTCACAGTTGTAAAAAATAAGAATGTTGACCATATATGTCACCAAAGTATATCAGTGCTGTTCATGATCTACATAAATGATTTGGGCGAAAACATAGCTAGTCTAAATAGCAAGTTTGTCAAACAACGATGCACAGTAATTCAAAAATAGTTTTCCTTTCAACAGCATATTTTGGGCAAAGCAATCTGATGAGCTGAAGGTCATTTTGAAAGTTCAGCAGTCATTTTTTTCTGAAATCCACCAGCAAAATTTAGGAGAAGCCGTGGTGTAGTGTTAATGTTGTTGGATTAGTATTCCAGAGCACCAGATTAATTTTCTGGGGATTTGGGTTTGAATCCCACCAAGGAATTTCACCAAGATGAAATATGAATTCAGTAAAAATCTGGAATAAAAAAACTAGCCAATGGTGACCATGTAACCTTTCTCAATTGTCACTAGAATTCATCTGGTTCACAAATATTCTTTCAGGAAGGTAACGTGCCATTCTTAACTGGTCTGGTCTACATGTGACTCCAGACCCACAGCAATGTGGTTGACTGTTAACTACCTATGGAGCAATGGGGATGGGCAGTAAATGCTGACCAAGCTGGTGGTCTGTGGTACTCCTAATTAAAAAATAAAATGCTGCAACTTTTCCTGGATCTGGAGAAAATACACACAAACAATTAAAGACTAAGAAGATTGGTTCCACCCAGAAAACATCTGTGCATACCTGTCCTTTCCTTCAAGTACGCATTGGTGGATTTGGTACCAAATTCTATCAGGTGTTGATTTACAAAGCAGTGAAGATGATGTAGAGATAATTACTATGCAGAATGATATTGAGCTGAAAGTAAGATCACAGAACAGTGGTTTGGCCGGTTGTGGGGGGGTGGGGCTCGTAAACAGAGATTTAACCACTTCTGTTATCCTGTGTTTTTAAAGTGAAAGCTTATGTTGACTCCTCATACCTCAGTCAGATTGTTTGAGACAGCATTCTCCCAAATGAACATAATCAATTCCAAGTATCGCATCCATCTCACAGAAACACATTTGAGGGACTGTGTATGACTAGCAAACTCAAACTACAACTCAGACTTCAAGTCCATCGACAGATATTATGCAGTCACAGGTGTCATGCTGAGACTTGATGAATAGAAGTGTAATTTGGGTTTAGATTTATATGGTACTAAAAAATAAACTGTTTGATATGTTCTTGGTGATATATCCTGGATTGTATTTAAATTCAAAAAATGATCTTGTGCTTAAAAAGGTGGGAGACCGCTACCTTGTAGATACTGAGGTTACAAGAACAGCTCAGAGGATAGAAATTCTGTGTGTGTAATTCATTACGTGATTCCCCAACACCTATTCACTGTGTACAAGGCACACATCAGGTGTGTGATAGAATACTATTCATTTGCTTAGATGAATGCAGCTCCAAAACACTCAAAAAACTTGACACCATCCAGGACAAAGCAGGTCTTTTATTTGACATTACATTCACAAACATTCACGTCCTTCATCAATACACAGTGGCAGAAGTGTGTATCGTCTGCAGGATGCATTGCAGGAATTCAGAAAGGCTCCTTAGTACTCTGCCATCTAGAAGGATAAAGGCAACAGATACATGGGAATACCATCAACTGCAATTCTCTTCCAAGCCACTTGCTTCCTGATTTGGGAATATATTGCTGTTTCTTCAGTATTCCTGCGTCAAAATCATGGAAGTTTTTCCTAAACAGCATTGTGGCTGTACCTACACAAAATGGACTGCAGCAATTCAAGAAGGCAGCTTGCCACTACCTTCTCAAGGGCAACTAGGGATAGGCAATAAATGCTTGCCATCTAACGATGCCCGCAACCCAAGAATTAGTTAATAAAAACCTCTCCAAGCACTTCAAAAAATGGAATGGAGTTCCTCCTTGTCTGTTTTGTGGGGGTAGCACTGCATTATTTCTTCTGATGGAATTGAACTTAGCAATTCACCATGTGTGGAATTTCAGGTGTGAACTGTTGCCTTATCTTCTGAGGCATTGCATGTCAAAACACTAAACTTAAATGCCAGATTATAGTGGAACAGACACAATTTTGATGGAGTTTGGTAAACTAACCAGTTTCATATTTTTTTCCCTTTATAGTTCCACCAAGTATTCTGGGAGATGAGCAGAATGTTTCTGTCACTTTGAATAACTCTGTGTCCTTGGACTGCCAGAGTCAAGCATTCCCACCACCCACTCTTCGCTGGACAAAGGATGGTCAACCTCTACCAATGCGTGCAGATCATAGACTGTCAGCAAATGCCAGTCTTTTTGAGGTCAGTGTTACCATTGAGTCTTTGATCTCATCTATGAAAGGTTTTGCTCTGAGTTTTTTTCACCAAAGTTTAACTTCAAACAAAGAAAAATACTACATTTTAATGGGAATCTTCACACCTTCAACATGGTCCAAATCACTTTACAGTTAATTAAATATTTTTGAGAATGGGGCAGCCAATTCGTACATGGCAAGGTCCCAAAAGCAATAATGTGCTAATGACCAGATAATTTTTTTCCAGGGATTGGATTGAGGGATCAATATTGGCCAGAACACCAGGGAAACATTGCCTGTTTTTCAGTAGAGTGCTGAGATGTTTTGTGATGTGGATGTACTGGTGTTGGACTGGGGTGGACGAGGTCAGAAGTCACGTGACACCAGGTTATAGTCCAACACGTTTATTTGAAATCACAAGCTTTCGGAGCACTGCTCCTACATCAGGTGAAGTGATATTTTATGCATACCTGCAAGGCAGACTTATCCAAATGCCTTAATGCCTTATCCAAAGGACGACACCTTCGACCTTACAGCAAGGCATCAGTACTGCACTGAAGGGTCAACCTAAATTTTATGTTCATGCCCCTGGAGTGGAAGTTGACACCATAACCTGACTTGAGGCAGTATGTTTGTTTATAATATCTTCATTTTTTTTTAAAACAAAATTTCAGAAATATTAGTGATATTCACTTTTTTAAGTGAAGATAAATTTGCTGCAAAACTGTAACAAACCTACAGTTAATTTTGGGAATCATCCTTAGACACCTGTTTGCAATACTGTGGAGATGCATGAATTTAAGAAAATATTTTAGAGACAAGAAAACATCCACACCCTAAACCTCACTTTTTTTGATCAATCTTGACCCCATATACCCACCTGCACTTTCTGTTTTCTATCTGTTTTCTGAAATAATTTATTCCTCAAGTCTGTTATGCTTTGGTTAAAAAGATTTCACTGAACATTTTGACTTGCTTTTAATTTTTAACTTGTGGTCCAGATCTTTGAACCTTTTGTCAGAGTGAACAATTTGGCTGGATTAACTGTTAGCCCTTGTTATAATCTTGAAATCTTTGAGTCATTTTTTAAAAAATGTTTCCCAATATCTCAAATTATGCTCCATCCCCAAACAGTAACCTTTTTTATTTGATTAAATTACCATCGTTACTAGCACTTAATAGGGTGCTATAGTTAATATCTGACCATCGCCTTTTGCAGCAATACTTTTTGGGATTGTTCTGTACTTTTTGATCAGTACTTTAATTCCTTTTTCATGACAGCCAATAACTCAGAATCATAGAATTTCTACAGCAGAGAAGGAAGCCTTTCAGCCTATTGTATCTGCACCAGCTGTCTAAAAGATCATCTCAACTTGTACCATTTTCCTCCCTACTCCCACTACCTCTGCACGTTGTTCCATTTCAAATAATTATCTAATTGTCTTTTCAACACTTCAGTTTAACCTGCTTCCACCATACATTCAGACAGTGTCTTTCAAATCCTAACCACTCATTGCATGAAAGGTGTTCCTCATCCCTTTTTATTATTTTACTAATTACTTTAAATTTTCTAAATCCTTTCACGAGTGGGAATCATATAATGAATGAAACTCTGAATAAACCTTCAGTCAGATTTCCTCTCAACCTTGTATTCCCGAATACAATCCTCGAGCAATCCTCATAACTAATGTTCTTCATCCACGGAAGCATTCTGTCAAACATCTTCTGCACTCTCCGATGGCTGCACATCCTTCCTGAAGTGTGGTGCCCAGAACTGAACACAATATTCCAGCTGAACACAAGCTCAGTGGTTAGGACTGCTGCCTCAGCGCCAGGGACCTGGGTTCAATTCCACCCTTGGGCAACTGTCCTTGTGGAGTTTGCACATTCTCCCCGTATCTGCGTGGGTTTACTCCGGGTGCTCTGGTTTCCTCCCACTGTACAAAGATGTGAGGTTAGGTGGATTGCCCGTGCTAAATTGCCTGTAGTGTCCGGGAATGTGCAGGCTAGGTGTGTTGGGAAATGCAGAAATATAGGGACAGGGAAAGGAGGTGGGTCTGAGTGGGATGCTGTTCAGAGGGTCTGTGTGGACTTGATGGGCCGAATGGGCTGCTTCCACACTGTAGGGATACTATGATTCTTCTCAGCTTGTATACTCAATGTCCCTGTTATTAGAGCCAGGAGGTATTTTATGTTTAAAGTAGCCACGTTCTCAACTTGTCCAACCACTCGATGTTCCAAATGGCCTGCTTCCACACTCTAGGGATTCTATGATTCACTATTAAGACCTTAAAGTTTTTGAGAAGATTTGTAGCTCGGGTTGCGGATGAGGTTACAAGACATGCTCGCCGAGCCGATGTATTTGATTGTGGGTGTTTTGTCACCATGCTAGGTAACATTGTCAGTGTGCCTCTGGTGAAGCATTGGTATTCTGTCCTGCTTATTATTTATATGAAATCAGATGATCTCATCAGATGATGAAGGGTCTAGGCCTGAAACGTCAGCCTTTCTGCTCCTATGATGCTGCTTGGCCTGCTGTGTTCATCCAGCCCTGCACCTTGTTGTCTCGGATTCTCCAGCATCTGCAGTTCCTACTATCTCTTATTATTTATATGCTTCGGTTTGCTGGGGTGGCTGGTATTATTTCCAGTTCTGTTCTTCAGTAATTTGTATGTCGGGTCCAGTTCAATGTGTTTGTTAATGGAGTTCTGTTTGGAATGCCAGGCCTCCAGGAATTCCCTAGCATGTCTTTGTTCGGCTTGTGCTATTATGGATGTGTTGTCCCAGTCAAATTCATGTCCTTCTTTGTCCATGTGTATTGAGACCAGTGAGAATTGGTCATGTCTCTTGGTGGCTAGTTGGTGTTTATGTATCCTTATTGCCAGCGTTCTTCCAATTTGGCCTGTGTAATGTTTCTCACAGTCCTTGCATGGTGTTTTGTATACTACATTAGTTTTATTGGTTGTGGGTATGGGGTCCTTCACGTTCATTAGTAGCTGTCGCAGGGTGGTTGCTGGTTTGTGACCTTTAAGACCTTATGCAGGTATACACACAGGTCCTTCTGCTGCAACACTCCCTGTAGAGTTTTGCCTTTTGTGTGTACATGTTCTTCCTACCAAAATTTATCACTTCACACTTTACTGCATTCATAGAATCCCTACAGTGTGGAAGTAAGCCATTCAGCCTATTGAGTCCACCTCTGAGAAAGGATGAATTCTTCAGGTGCCAGCAGTGGAAAAATCTCCCCTCTGATCATCATCAGACAATGCACTAACCAGAGGTGGCATACATATTTTCCCACCCAGACCCTGTCCCTGTAACCTTGCACTTCCCATGGCTAATCCACCAAACCTGCACGTCTTTAGACTGTGGGATGAAACCAAAGCACCTGGAGGAGCCCACACAGACACGGGGAGAATGTGCAAACTCCACACAGACCTAGGGTGGAATCGAACCTGGGTCTCTAGTGGTGGGAGGCAGCAATGCTAAACACTGAGCCACCCTGCTGCTGTGCATTGAACTTCATTGCCATTTATCTGCATACTGTATCAACTTTCTCTGTCCTTCTGAAGTTCTACAGTATCGTCCTCACAATTTACAATGCTTCCAAGTTTTGTATCGTCTGCAAATCCTGAACTGTAAGAACAACGTGAAATAAAAGAAATATGTGTATTTATGTAGCACCTTTCACATGTACTAGGCATCTCAATGTGCTTTGCAACCAATTAACTACTTTAGATATGTTGTCACATTGTACCATCAGAAATGTGGCAGTTAATTTGCACACAGCAAGCTCGCACAATCAACAATATGCTAATTGCCAGTCTGTGTTTGTGATATTAATTGAGAGATAAGCATTGGACAGAAATCCTGCTCTCCTTCGGAATAATGACAAGCAGGAAAATGGAGCCTCTGTTTAACATTTTGCCTTAACAATGCCACTCAGAGCAGTATTCCCTCCGTTCACCTAAGTGTTGTCCTTGATTTTTATACTCAAGTCCTGGAATGAGACTTGAACTCAAAGGTGAAGCTGCTAACTACTGTGCCACGGCTGACAGATACTAAATAGGATTGACCATGTAACCTTTAGAGCTTCCTAAATTGAAGAGTCAGAGCGTTACGAAACTATGGAGCTCTAACTGAATTACAACAGCTGCTCTCGCTCTCAGTTCTCCCTGAAAGGTCACAATAATTTTCAATCCTTAAAGTGGGCTGGAGGTCACAAAGGAGAAAAAGTTTGAGAATCACTGTTTTAGATTAATTTAATGACTGCAAAGCTTTGGTCTTGCAATTTGTCCTAGGATCCAAACTCGCAGATTGCTGCAAGTCAGGGGGCCAAATACAAACTAAATTCCATCAGGTATCCAGTATTGCACATTTTGGAAGAAAAGTTTGATTATTATTGTTGATTTCTTAGATCAAGAGTGCCCAGATTCAAGATGCTGGCCGCTATACTTGTGAGGCTTCAAACAATGCTGGAAAAACAGAGAAGAACTACAATTTACACGTATGGGGTAAGCAGGGAGTAACCAGTTTGACAATTTTTGAGAGACTTACTCTCCATTTTGTTATTCGATTCCCCTGTTTGCTCATTTGAATTTGCCCTGCTTTTTCCCACATAGTCCAAGATGAGAAAGTGTGTGTACTCCTGGGAATCCACTATCTCAGGAAGAGCCAATTAGCCTGAAGATGAGTTACAAGGGCATTACATTTGAGAGATGTGATGATGCTAAAAATGATGAAACTTGAACATTTTCTGGTGCCAACCTAAATCCCTGAGGCAACACTGCAACCCTGCAGAGTATGTCATACAGCTGCTTTCTTAATGTTATATATCTTGTATTTGGATAAGTTTATTGAGTTTTGTTTGAATTTAGGACATTTCCCCACCAGCAACCATGGTTCAACGTGCCTGTTTTACAGAAATCTACACAAGAAACACTTAAGGGTTTCATTTGTTTGTGCTATCTATTGGCAGTTGAGTGCCTATTTAGGACTGCAATGCAGAAATTTTAAATCAACATCTTCAGACATGTTATGACTCACCACTGGAACAGACAGGACCTTGAGTCTACAGTGTATCATCATCAGAAATGACGCTCTTATGAAGCATCAATCAATCTAACTAATTATGCATCACTATTCCCAAGCTGACGCCTGCTGGTTATGATTCCTTGCTATGCTCCAGAGCACAACATTTGGCTCTTTGTGGTGCAGTGGCAGTGTCCCTACCTCTGAGCCAACAGGTCCAGACCCAAAATGTTAACTCTGATTTCTCTTCACAGATGCTGCCAGATCTCCTGAGCTTTTACAGCAACTTCTGTTTTTGTTTCTGATTTACAGCATCTGCAGTTCTTTTGGTTTTTATCTCAGAGTTCTTCAGAGCTGATAAATTACTTCTAAAATGTAGTCACGTCAATGTGCCTTATAAACTTCTTGGCCTTGCAGCCGCTGAGAGGTTCCATGCAAGCCGATTGGCGTGCTAACACATTGACTTTTGCACATAGGAATCATTGCTGCGCATAGACCCCAGAGGTAAACACAGCTGAAAAAAATTAGGTGGATCAGTGGTCACCATTCTGATATAGAAAACACAACAACCAATTTGCACTCAGCAAACATCAACAAAAAGCAGTGATATTGATCAGACCATGTGTTTTATTTTGTGATTATGATCAAGGGGTTGGCCAGAACAATGAGGATAACTTCCATGCTCATCTCAAAAATAGTGACATACGACCTTTTTATGTTCATCTAAGCAGGCAGATTGGGGCTCAGTTTTTAATGTCTCATCCAAAAGACAGCACCTTCATTAGTGCATTGTTCTCACTGTACCGCACTGGAGTGTCAGCGTAGACCTCTGTGTCCAATTAATTTAATGAGCTCTGCCCACTCTTTGCTGCGCTCACTCTGAGAAGGGATGAATTCTTCAGGTGCCAGCAGTGGAAAAATCTCCCCTCTATCATCATCAGACAATGCACTTACCAGAGGTGGCATACATATTTTCACTGTAAAATAATTTGTGAAATGGAACATACCAGATGATGCACTGAAGTGTTTTAGTTCAATTGTTAGCACAGTTGCAATGCTGTTTGTTCCAGTGCCGGTGAGAAACTCGTAAAGGTTTCATGTCGAAGGTCGCTGGAGACCCTGACTATTATCATTTGCAGTGCTGTCTAATGCAGAAGACATACATGATGGCAATTAACGTGGTCACTTTATAAGCATATCAACAGAGAGCTTTGTGCTTTTCTGTAAAATCTGAGCTGCCGATCCCATCACTCACCATCACCAAGTTAAAGTGATTTAATGTTGTGGACCATCTGGCCTCACTTTTACAAGCATTACTGGAATGAATCACATATCTAGCTGTCAGTGGCTACCTTCAGTGGACAGAGAGTGATTCATTGATGCACTTCCCTGACAGATGGGTGGAAATGAGACAAACACAGTGTCTGGTGACACACTGAAACTGAATAATAAGGCACAAAGGCCAAGCTAATTGTGAATGGGGAGTTTTTTTTCTAATCTGAAGTAAAAGCCAGGCAAGACTCCAACAGTAACTTGAGGTCAGAGCTGTTTTAAGGATCAAAAACACGTCTGTGTTAAGCATTGTTTGGAGATAGGTCAGTATTTTGAAGAAATCTTGTTCCGGGCTTCCATTCCAAAAAAATCAGGGGCATCAGACTTCCACAAGATGAATGATTCCCACCTTGAGAAATATCTGAGAATGCCTTTGTTTCTGATCAAGAGATAACCCAGCTCAAGCCCATGGTGGACAGCACAGGAAGATAAAATTGTTAGGTATCAACCCTACGACAACTGCTCACCCGAACTAAAGACCCACTCCCCGCCATGGACAGGACCAATGTCATCTACAAGATCCCCTGCAGAGACTGCGAGAAACACTACATCGGACAAACAGGAAGGAAACTAACAACAAGGGTACACGAACACCAACTGGCTACAACAAGACACGACCAATACTCACACATCTCAATCCACATGGACAAGGAGAACCACGACTTTGACTGGGACAACACCAAGATCCTGGGACAGGCTAGGCAGAGACAAGCACGAGAATTCCTGGAAGCATGGCACTCCACAAAGCATGCTATTAATAAAGACATTGAACTCGACCCCATATACATTCCACTACAGAGGAAACCCGGAAATGAGGCAATCCATTGCAACGGACCCCAGAGTTTAAAAACCAGGCAGGAAAACACACCGACGCTTCATCAGAGGCTGCACTGAGGATGTTACCAAGCACGGTAACAAAACATCTGCGGAACAATAAAATGGATTTGATGATGCCTTCATTGGAGAACGAGGAAAATTAGTCAGGGGATTGTTTGACTACAGTTTGAACATTTAAGGAGTTTCACTACACAGAGGAACATCATTTATCCTTCAAATTCATGTTAGTTCCCTGAAGAGCAGGGTTCTTCAACCTTTTTGCATGCTGGGGAGGGGGCGCTGTCACTTTTCAATTTTTCCTCACTTGAGACCAGTGAACAATTTTCAGAAAGGCGAGGTTTGACAGGAACATAAATTTCAGGAGGGAAATCAACAGCAATTAATTGACGATCTAACTAAATGACCAATTCATAGAAATGACCGATTAGAATTGCCAAGACGTGGATAAAACCATTTTTTTGTCTTTTTGCTGAAGAACCAAAGCCAAAGAGATGAGATGCCAAGTTATGGGTAGAGGAAGGGAATAAGGTCAAACTAAGTAGTTGAGATTAATCAACCTCGTGTTCACCTCTGATGCACACTCCAAACTGTCCTCAGCTGTTTCATACAAAAATGGGGGCCAGAAGATGGTTGTCTTTGACTTCTCTCTATCCTTTTTTGTGGATTGGGTATTGGACAGGGAAGACTAGGAGAAAGGTGTTTATATGCCTAACTCACTTTCAGCCTCAGGGTTCACACACATCTATCCTGTCTCACACCTACTCTGTCCCTGCTTCACGTACTCTCTCTCTCCTTCACTCTCCCAGCCGTATTCTCACACTCTTCCTTTTCCTACACACTCGCTTGCCCTTTTGTCTTAACATGACCCCTTCAACAGAATGAAAATAATCCATGGGGTTTTACCCTCAAAACATTTCTACCACCAGCAACGCCTTAATCCCACTGGCAAACATTTTGAGTTGAAATTGAAATGGCTGAAGTTTTTTCAGAGATGCTTAAATGCAGTTGATAACAGACAATTTTGAGCATCTGGCAGGAATCTTCAATTAACCACTCTCAGCGTCCTGACCAATCAAGGCATTGTAAGGCTAACCAATCAGGGTATTGAAAATCATTATCACTAGCTCATCCTCACATTTTCCATGCATCTTTTGCTCAAAACCTTATATTTGTTTCCCCTAGCAAACATAGAGAGTGCTGGAAAAACTCAGCAGGTGTGGCAACATCTGTAGAAAGAGAAACATAGGTACCATTTCAAGTTTAGTATGACTCTTCCTCAGAACTGTTCAAAAGAAGGGTTGTACTGGACTCAGATATTAACTCTATTTCTCTCTCCACAGATGCTGCCAGTCCTGCTGAATTTTTTCAGCAGTCTCTGCATTTGTATCCACAATTTTTCACGTTTATCTGTTTCCCCTAGTCTTCGTAACATCAACTAATGGAAACAACTCTGAGAATACTTATTGTAGTTGCTTCCAATACTGGACATGTTATGGGGTGGGGAGTTGCAAAACAAGGTTCAAACATTTTGTGACAGGGAAAGGAAGTAAGATGCAAGGGAAAACCCTTGAGAAGGTGGTGGTGAACTGCCTTATTGAACCACTGCAGTCCACCAGCAGTTGGTTGATCCATAATGCCAATGGGGAGGGAATTCCAGGATTTTGACTCAGTGACAGCGAAGGAATGGTGATATATTTCCAAGTCAGGATGTTGAGTGTCTTGGAGGGGAACTTGGAGGTGGTGGTGTTCCCATATGTCTGATGCCCTTGTCCTTGTAGATGGAAGTGGTTGTGGGTATGGAAGGTGCTGTCTGAGGATCTTTGATGAATTTCTGCAGTGCATCTTGTAGATAGTACACACTGCTGCTACTGAGCATTGGTTGTGGAGGGATTGGATGCTTGTGGGTGTAGTGCCAATCAAGCAGGCTGCTTTGTTCTGGATGGTGTCAAGCTTCTTGAGTGTTGTTGGGACTGCACTCATCCAGGCCAGTGAAGAGTATTCCATCACATTCCTGATTTGTACCTTGTAGATGGTGGACATGCTTTGAGGAGTCAGTAGGTGAGTTACTCACCGCAGTATTCCTAGCTTCTGACCTGCTCTTGTAGTCAATGTGTTTATGTGGTGAATCCAGTTGAGTTTCTGTCAGTGATAATCTCCAGGATGTTTGATAGTGGGGGATTCAGTGATGGTAAGACCATTGAATGTCAAGGGGAGGGGTGCTGGTTAGGTTGTGTCTTATTACTGATGGTCATAGCCTGACATTTGTGTGGTGCAAATTTCACTTGTCACTTGTCAGCCCAAGCCTGGACATTGT